TCTGATGATTTATGCTGTCACATTCATCCAAACAATCCACAAATTTATCATCAGTTTCTTCAGCAATTCTAGTAGTTACCCTAATTTCTCCAGTGACATAACGCCAAAGTCGACGTCCTTTTAAGAAACTTGATATTTCTTGAGACCATAAAATATAATTAGAACCATTCAAAATAGTCTGAATTGAAATTGAGATTTCCATTCTATACATGATATGCACTTTACTTCTATGGAATCAGTAGAATCTAGTATACCGAGAGTAGATATGAGAAAAATAACGGCAAAAACTAACTCAGGACGGTAGAATACCTCAAGAACCGGTCAGAAAACACTGAAAACCGATCAGGAAATGGTTGAAATGGCCAGAAAATCGAAAGAACCGGTATGGTCTGAACCGGTCTATGCCGGTCAACGGTCGATCAATGACGATCAACGTAGGTCAACGATCAGTTAACGGATGATGTGGGGCAGCGGACGTGGCAAATGACGTCATCATCGGATGACGTGGCAAGTGACGTCAGCTGGGGGCGTGTGCTAGGCGCGTGTCAGGCACGTGCCAGCTGGGGGAGGCGTGTGGATCTCATGCGCAGTCCTTGGAGCAGCGCGTAAGGGCTCGTCCAGCGGAGAAAAGCGGCGAAACTTGACTAGCTGACTCTACTGAGGGCGACGAGTCATGGGTTGGTGTTGGTTTCTGGAAAAACATGGTGGAGGATGTCCAAAACGCCACTAAACAACGGTGAACAGCGATGGGCTACCTGGGTCCGAGGCGCGGTGGCGCGGCGGTGCGTGCAGTGGCTGTTGGCGATGAAATTTTAGGACGCAGGTCATCTGAGGGCGGCGAGTCTGCTAGTGGTCTCTGTTTTCCAAAATGAGCAGCGAATGTATGCCGAGCAGTGATGAAGAGCTTCGGTCTTGTGGGAGAACCGAGGCAGCGCAACCGGTGTGGCCGGCGTCGTGGTGGCCACAGTGTGGCAGGCTCGATGGGTGCTCCTCAGGTAACAATGAAGCTCTGATACCAAGTTGAGATGAGAGAATTTTGTGTATATTATGCTTGAATTAATTGAACTACAAGGCCAAGTTCCTTTATATAGGGAAAGAATGAACAGTAATGAACAGTAAACCCTAAATAATATATTATATCTAACATAATCCTAAATTATATATTATATCTAACAGTCTCGAAAAGTAGTAGCTTTATCTGATTATCAGGGATCATCAACTCAACATCATGAAGATAATGCAACAGATCACCACTTCTAAAGCCCCGCAAAATCGCAACATGTAAAAGAATTGGAACTAGACCATAATCATCTGCCAAAGATAAAAAGCTGGAGAACAAATTTCATTCAAAACTAATAAATATCCAGAAGGTTATCAAAATTTAGTCCTCGCCGGTCTAAGATGTGAGTTCATCATCTCTACCAACAAAAGACAGCAAAACAGATACTCAGTCCTCCAAAAAGCCCAAACGCTCTGTTTTATGAAACAAACTGACCTGTGTCTCCCCATTCATCGTCCTTAGACAACATCCTCGGACGAGCAGTTCGCTCCAAGGGAAAAGAATCCACTGCGAATTCACCAAACAACGAAGTCCAGAAGCAGGTCATAAAACAATCAAACGGAAAAAAAAATCAACGTTGGATAAACCCATAAACAATCAGAGGAGGAGCCAAACCAAAACACTTCCAGCAAGGACATCCCCAAACACGAAGAGGAGAGAAAGGCCAACTGCCAATTCACCGAATAACCAAAAAATTCAGAACGACAACGCAAAGACCGATCGGTTGCGGCCAGGCGAAACCACTCGAGAATCTCCGTAACACAAGATGCTTCACAAAATCAGACCGAGAGAAAGCAATCGGACCCATCAAACAATCTATCGAAGACAGAAACGGAAGAAGAGACTGATCGATCTTCTCCGAAGAGGGATTTCGCAGAGACCCATCACGCGAGAGAGGACGAACGGGAGAGAGAGAGAGAGAGAGAGAGAGGAGTGTCTGCGGAGCAGAGGAAGGACGAGGGGTTATAGAGGAAGGAGCTCCCAACGGTCACATTGGTCTCCCAACGGTCATATTTTTAATAAGATTATTCTTTATTTCGAAATAGAGTTGTTACCTCCAACAGATCACATTAGAAAATTTAATAATAAACTATAGTTCTAATTAACATTACTTTTTCATGTGGAATTAACTAGTCGCCTCTTTCTAGTATATCATTATATAGCATGAAATTAAAGAGTTGGTAATAATTTTACATATTATGTTGTTGCAACATAAATTTATCGGTATCCTCGATATTATAGTATACTTTAAATTTAAATAAGTAAAAATTATTATGTTAATTAGGAACCTTTCTTATCATAAATAACATTTAATGTCAGCTAAAAAAAATTTTGTCATGAAAAAGGCGAATTTTTCAAATCTTTGTTTTTTGTTTAAGATATTAAAATTTTGAAAAAAAAAAACTTGTGCCGTTTTAAAGTGCCCTTAATTTTGAAGCACAAGTGCTAGGAAAAATACTCAAATTTTCCCTTTAGCAATTGTTGTTTAACTTCCTACTCCATCGGGTCAAGTTTTGCCGTTTCCTTGTCACTCAAATTCGGGCTCAAACCTTGTCCTATCTTTTTTACCTGCGAGACTCACAAGATATAAATAATTGTGTCATGCCAAGCTGACATAAATCAATGTGTTTAATAAATTTTCCTTTTCCACTTTTCTTTCTTCATCGCTTGAAAATTCATACTCATACTAAAATGCAGAATAAGTAACGTTGTTGCCCTGAACGTTAACAGCCAAAAACTAACAAGAGCACGAGCATAAGCCATAAAATCATAAGTTTTTTTTTTCCAAAAAGGGATGACATAGTGGTTATGGTCCATTTTAAAATCGAAATGACAAGGGAAATTGTGTATATAAAGCGAGAATTTGTTAAGCAACACGAATTCTTAAGAGAGAGATGGAGGTCAAATTGAGAGGATGAGGCCTTTAATTTATGGATGCGTTTGTTTTCACGAAAAATAAATTATTTAAAAAATATTTTCTTAAAATTGATTGCTTGTATTGCTTATAAAAATGAATGAATGTAAAATCATTTCATTGTCCATAAAAATGTTTGAATACAAATTATTGTCAATAATGAAAATACTTTTTTATTAATTAATTATTTCAAAAAATAGAAAAATGATTATTTTTAAGAAAATATTTTTTAATTCATTTATTTTCTGCGAAAGCAAACTAAATTTATATATATTTTTATTTTTTTAATATGATGAATGAAACGGTCTGTGGACCGTCCTAATCGCTATGTCAGTGGCCATGACCGTTGGGCTAACCATATTTTAAAAAAACGGCGGTTGTCGTCATCTCCAATGTGCATCCAAATCCCTTCGAAAAAATGATTATTTTATTGCTATATCTATGGTTAAACATATTTATATAGATAAAATCACAATCTATCTATATAAATGCATAGTAACAATATATTACTAAAGAATTGTCTCTCATTATGACATATAGAACTCTGGATAATGAGAAAATTTCCTTCATACTATAGAGATTGGATTTGCTGCATTCACTACAAAAAAATGATCCACCTAAGTTTATACTGACTACTCTTAATGAAATATTTGATATGATCTTAAAGACTTATCTTTTATTATAATTAATTACCTTTAACCACTCAAATATTCTTATAAATTGTGCCGTTATATTAAAAAGTAAATGATTGCGCAAATCTTTTGCAACACTTATTTCCTTATTTACAACTATTAGAATGTGAGCATGGTACAGTTAGGGGAAAATTTTCCAAAAAAAATCCTAAATATATTGTATGTTGGCCAATTTAATCTTAAACTTTTCAACTTTACCAATTGAGTTCTAAACTTTGTAATGATTCGCCATTATAGTGCTTCCGGTGAATTTTTGTCGATAATTGCGAACGTGGACACCCGACATCTGACCAATAGCATTTGATTTTATGGTCTTGGTCATAAAATATTACAATTTCTGTTTCAACCATTAGATTGTATACATTTGATTGGTTTTCCTGTGACTTTTCCTTTATTTCCTCTTTTTTTTATGGCTAAAATACTCCATTATTTCCCTCAAGACGTCTTGACGTGGCCGCATTCGACGACTTTCAACCATTTCATATTCACATATCAAAGGGATGGCCCACTCTGAAATGTTACCTAGAAAAATTTCTAATTATTAAACCGCACCACCAAACCCCTACCCCTTTTTGTGAGTTATTAATTTTATGTTCATATGAAAGATCCTAATTAACGACTCCCGGTCAAACATTGCTAGTTCTCTCTCCTCTTTCTACCATCCGATTTGAGTTGATATCAGAACTTGCTTCATTTCATCACTCGAATAAGAGAAAAGTTACATAGAGGAGGTTTCGACGACAACTATAGGGCGTCTCTGTTCGTACCATGTTTAGAGTAAGGAGATGGTATCAACCCATGATTCAATTGAGCAATTCCCAACTCCTTGAAACAAAATCAAAGACTTAGCCAAATGATTTTAGTTGAAACCATCGTCTACAATTCAGGCATGGGCATTGCGGCCCTCATCGGTACATAGTTGAAAAAGAAGAAAATAAAAAAAAAGAAAAAAAAAAGAGAAAACAAAACAAAAAATACCAACAAATTTTGCAAAATTAAAAGAAAAATGAAAAAATTGTCCACATCAAAACTAACCGCGCGACATAGACCTCATTGGCATCTCTGTTCGCACCATGTTAGAGTGAGGAGAGTGGTATCAACTCCTTTAAGCATGCAACCTATTATTTATTTGTTATTTTCTTTTTCGCCTTTTCCCCTTCTTTATTTATATTTTTTTTATAGTGAAGCGAAATTAAACAAAAAGTTAACTAAGTGCCAAAATAAATATGAACTATAATTTATATGCATGCATCTAAATTAGATGCCAAAATAATATGCAATATAAATCTGAATTTCATGAAAAATTGCACTACTTTCCCTTGGAATTTCAACCTTAAACTTCCTGTGAGAACGAAGTTAGTGCACCTCGTACTTTCACGTCGTAGGCCTCGATTCCCGGGTGTTGCTGCTCAAACCTCGAGACAAGGTGCTCGTCCTCATCAAGGATGACGGTGCGGCCGTTGAAGTTGAGGGCTGTGTACAAGAGGGCCTCGTGGGTAAGGCCGAAAACGAGGAGGTTACAGCGGGATGCAGCAGCGGCACAGCGGGCAACTGCGACGGTTACAGTGGCGAGCTCGGTGGACGTCATGCAGGTGGAGTTGGTAGTGGTGGCGTAGTGGAGGAGGGCGTCGGATATGGAAAGTCGAAGCTGGACTGAAGAGGCGGTGGAGCCCGTGGCAGTGCTTGTGGCGGCGGTGGTGATTAGGGTTAGAGTGAAGGCGGTGGTGAAGAAGGTGATGATGAAGATGAGCCACAAGCGATTGGTGTTTGAAGATGATTGCTTTTGGATTGTGGGATGGAGGAGTATTAGCTTTGTGCTTTTCATATCTCTCTCTCTCTCGACCTCCAATGGAGGTTGATACTAGGCACGTGACCTCCATTGGTGGAGGTGCTCGAGTTCACATCTGGGTAGCACGACCTAGCCTCATATCCAGTCTAAATTTAACAGCTAGTTAATGGTGTCCATGTAAGCGTCCTTGTCGATATATTAAATGGCTAGTTAATAATATTAGCTGCCACATCAGTAATTTTTGTTAGTCTAGTTAACGGAATGATAATATTGAGTCAAATTAAAAAATACAAGTACTATTGAATTGCCAAATGTTTTCGGGACAAAATTGAAAAACAGGGAAAAGTTCATATATCACCCATACTGTTACCCAAAAGCAAAAGAAGATAGGAATCATCAAGATTGTTCAATCGGGTGCATAAGTCAGAAAGCTTATTTAACAGAGAGAAGTCCTATCTGGGAATCATATTTGCAGAGAAATGGAAGTGAATAATGTATGTTTTACCTGTACATTAGATCATCCAATGCAACTGAGTGATGTCAAGTCGCTATTCTGTTAATTTGTTTCAATCTCCCTTATGAAAACTAGCAGAAACGTTTTCTTGCAGATTACAAAAACCAATCTTCCATTTTCACCTCAAATACTAATTTCACAGAAATCTATCCACACTTCGCAACAAGAGGTTTCAAAAAAATCTACACTTTGCACAATCTTATTTCCATAGTTTGTTAGACTCGAAGTTGTAAAATTTAGACCTTTTTTCGAAATGAAGGCGCAAAATGCATGCTCGAAACAATAGAAGACGCAGAATAAATCATAATAAAAAGTTAGAGAACGATTTTTGTTATCCTTCCTACATAATGAAAAATGTAGTTGAGCCACGTAGGAAGCATTAAAAATCGGATTAACTGGAAAATTATCTAGTCACTCTTAAACTTTTTGTACGGATGCTAATTCAGTCATAAACGTTCCAATTTTGCCAATTTAATCTTAAACCTTTACATAAAATTCTAATATTGTCCTTCCAACCACGGTAGTGATTTTCCAGTAAAAATTTATTGGAAGGACTACATCAGAATTTTTCGTAGAGATTTAGGACTAAATTAGTAAAATTGAAAATTTTAGGACTAAAGTGGCAACCATAAAATAAGTTTAGGGCTGATTGGGTTATTTTCCCAAGGATTAACCATCCCATTATTTTTCCTTCTCTTGTAGTCCTTTTAAATATGAGAATCGACAATATACACAAAAAAAAAAAAACACACACACACACACACACATATATATATATGGTATCTTATGGAAAAGAGATATGCGATATCTTTTTGCCCAAATAGTTTCCATTTTGTTAGTAGCTTGAAATTAGTCGGTGTTTTTTTTTTTGGTCGACAAATTTGTTGGTGTTGATCATCACGTTTGTCCACCAAAAGTCACAAAGTCAACTTTCACGTTTGTCCCACTAATTTAGCATTTAGGTTAATTCCAAGTCCCATTCTGACGAAAGCGGTGTTTTAATCATAATGCCATATTCAAGTCCGACCATGTCTTTAATTATTGCTCTGCCTAAACTTGGTATTATTGATGTAATCAGACCAATGATTGTGGCCTCCACGTAGTAAAATGACGTCAATGTACGTGAGATATAATCGTCTCTTCGGCATCGAGAGAAGTGTTTCTTAGCGATGCTAAAGTTTAAGATGACAAATGCCAAAAAATTCCCACTTTTCTTTTGCAAGTTATCATCTTATCATGGAATAAAGCTACCAGAAATCCTTAAAGTTTATCGGTTTTTGCAATGTAATTTTTGAATCTTTTCATCTGTGCGATCAAATCCGTAAATTATGTTTTGTTTATTCACATTGGTACTGGAAACCCTGAGCTTTATCGGTTTAGATGACAAATGCCAAAAACTTCTCACTTTTCTTTTGCAAGTTATCATCTCGATATGGAATAACAATGCCGGAAACCCCTAACTTTTATCGGTTTAGATGTCAAATGCCAAAAACTTCTCACTTTTCTTTTGCAAGTTATCATCTCGATATGGAATAATGATACCGGAAACCCCTAACCTTTATCAGTTTGTGCAAGGTCATCTTTGAATTTTTTTTTTTTTTTGCAATCAAATTCTGGAACTATGGTTTGTTCGTTCACATTGGACATTATATTAAAAAACAAAAGAAAATGCTTATGTGGCCGTTAAATGCCAAGTTGGCTCCATGTGGCTCCTACGTCCTTATCAAAATCTTGAAAGATTAAAGAAATAACAAAATTTGAATTTTCTTCATAGAGGAAAATGACGAAAATTTGGAGCGACGACACCACCGTGAGCCCAAGCCCGCACTTTTCAATAGAAGCCCGCTCAATCGGCTTCGACTTTGGAAGCGGTGGCGGCGGCGGCGGCGGCGGCACTGGGAACACTGAAGACCTTCGTTCCACAGAAGATCAAAGCCTGTAACGAAGGAAGCCAGTGGTTTGGAGGGAGTGGAAGAATCTCATCTTCCATGTAACCAAAGAGCGTTTTTTTTTTTGTTCTGAATCGAACTCACATCTTCATTTGCACCCGAATTCATCTTCGATCGACCGACTGGCAATGTCTTTCCCGAGCTTCTGTTCTTCCGTGAAACCGAAGAGCATCGTGACTGTTTTTTCGCTGATTAGATCGTCTTTAATTGGAGCTGTACGGTTTTATGCTCAGGCAGCGAGAAAAGAAGGTCAAATTGAGATTTTCAGAAATGTTATGCGGTATTTGTTTTCGAATCATAATTGCTGATGGGTGTTCGCCGAATTACTTGCGATGGAACTTGCTTGTTTGACTGAATGACGTTGTTTTCTTGAACTGTATGCTAGGATATTGTTTTATGCTTGATTCGGATATTGGGAACGCAAATCAAGCAATTTGAGCACGGATGCATCTTCTCCAATTCGAAATAGAGATGAGCTTCATTCCCTCTGTTCAATGTTAATATGCATGCGATTGTTTGAAACAAAGTCTGAACACAATCTTTTGTTGGATTTGTAGGATCGTTACGATCCTCAATGACCTCACAAATTTTCCAAGTATTTGGCATGACGGGGTATGCAAAAGAGGAAATTTTACCTTAGACTTTTTAGCAACAGCACTCCGATGCATGTCCGAAGCTCTTCTATTCATACACTAGAAATAGTGGCGGTCAATCTACAAGTGTGAATAACTCAAAGTAATCATCTTTTACATCCCCCAAATATGAAACTTAGCATCAACATTAAAAGAATAAAAAGAAATGCTGATTTGCATCAGCCACCACTTGTTGTATGAAACTATTTATGGTTGATTACTAATAGCTAAGTCTCCTAGTAGGTCGCATGTTTTGAATGGAAGAGGTCAGATTATGTCATGTTATGGAATTTTGATTACAGTTACTTTATGGTGTGTACATTGCTAGCCAAACATTGACGAGGGGGCTCACTCTATGGAGATTGAAGTTGTTACTATCGGATAATCTCTGGTATCAAATGTTCTACATTGTTGTGACTGAACTATGATTCAGACATCAGAGCACTACAAAACGAAGATGGATCTTTCTCTTGGTATACGTGGGGAGAAGTCGATACTTGGTGTCTTGTCCTCGTCTTTGATCAATTACAATTTTTGTGCTTCTTGAGGATGTTTCTTAACCATATGGTGTCTTGCGATACTAAAACGGTTGGATTCGATAAATGTGGATAAGGCTGTCAGATATATAGTGAGTTGCAAAACTTTGGATGGCGGGTTTGGTTGCACTCCTGGTGCAGGGTCTCGTGTCAGATAACCTTATGCTGGAGCTCTTTCGCTGGTTTCAAATATCTGATTGGTGCTTAGTAAGTCATGTATCAGCTTAAATACATGGTACTCTCCTAGTTATGTTGGTGAAGAATTCCACTCTAGGTCCTATCTAACCAGTATTGTATATCGTTTTAGAGTGAGAAGGAAACCTGGGCTTTTGGCAATTAAATGTGGCACCATCCACATGATGGTGGATTGAAATGGACACAATTGAGCAAAAGAAATCAGTACGTGTTCCAATGACCACATCCAAAGGATAAAACCGAGTCGCCACAGTAGTAAGAGGACTCATCTTAGACGTGAGAAAGTAGGAAGGAATTGCTGATGTCACAGGAGAATTAGGCATAAGACAATGAGGCACTAAGGAAGTAAATTGAGATGCACAACTGCCTGACCAAGTACCTTGCTACAAAGTGTCTCATCTATCTCTCTTCTTTCAGTTCAAATCAGAAGATCGTTGCAAAAACGGATGCTTCAACATAAAACAAAGCCGTGTGTACTTTGTCCACCCGATTGTCCAGTCGGTCACGCAGTAATTTGACCTGTGGAATCCCCAAAGCTCTTGGCTGCACCCATGAAATATATACTGTCCACTCAACTTGATCGATTATGCCCTCATTAAGATGAACCTAAGTTGAGATTCTAATGATTAGACTACAGAATATCGGTTTTCCATTATGTATGCTAGAGCAGAGAAGGTGCAAGCAATTACAACATCCATGTATTTGCCATTACGGCGTATGCAAAAAACAAGGAAATTGTACTCTAGATTTTGAGCAACAGCACACTGATGCATATCCGAAGCTCTTCTATTCTTACACCAGAAATAGTGGACGTCAGTCTACAAGCGTGAATAAATAACTCAAAGTAATCATCTTTTACACGCCCCCCAATAATGAAACTTAGCATCAACATTAAAAGAATAAAAAGAAATGCCGATTCGCATCGGCCACCACTTGTTGTATACTTTATGGTTGATTAATACAAGCTAAGTCTCTTAATAGGGCGCAAGTTCACAGCAGTCACTTCAGGCACATTTCGTGCAGCCAACCCACAAACTTCTAGCCCCTTCAACCATATGCAGCAGACCTCAAATTCCCAATGGAAAATACAACTGCCCAAAATATGAAAAAGACAAACCTGGTTATCCCATTTAATTCTGTATGAAGGACCGAAAAGAGAAGCATTGTTTGCTTCATTTTCAATCATTGAGAGCTCCTCACAGGCAATAAAGAGACAGTGGATACTCATTAAAGAGACCATTATATATACTTACAGACAAACTCTTCATGAGAAGATGCTCAACATCTTGTGTAGAAAGCTTTGTACGCTCTGCATCAACATTCATGGGAATGGCTCGATCCTCAGATGGTCGACTCCGAAAATTTACTTCGCCGTTCTCCATCAAAGCTGTAATAAACTCTGTTTCCCAAATTATGCAACTTCCTAATATTAATTCAGCTCACAAATACACATAATTCTTGTAACACTCCAACTAACAGATGCACAACACGCCGGCACATGATTACACGCAATCGGAGCATAGCAACATATAACTAGACTAGGCTTTCCAATAGTCAAACAATTGCAAAAGAAAGCAGACCCCTTATACAGCTACATTACCACATGAAGCTAGAGCTCGAGCTCATGCTTAACTACGCAAAGATAAATCACACAAATTACATTCAACTAAACACCAACCGCCACACCACTCGCGCCTGTTCTTCAGCGATTAGCTGGTGATTCCAGAGCTTGAGTTCAGGCCCATGCCTCCTGCGACTGATGGAGTTAATGAGGGCAACCATCGGAGCCTCATGTAGCACCAAATTCCTCCAGCTGAGCGGCAGTGAAGATGAAAATGTGCACGAGAGTGGAAAGTGGCACTGAAGAAGGACTTGAAGGTCACGGACATGAAACTTGAAGCTCGTGGACGACGGAACCTGGGAAATCGTGCATAATTGATGTGGAGTGACCAACTCGATTAAATTTGATTATTATTTGAAAAAAACTTTTCTCCTTTTCTCTTTCCTTGTTTTCTTCTTCTTCTCTGTTCATCTATTCTCACCATCATTGGTCACTCTGCAATGCTGGCCAACACTATACCAGAGAGCATTTTGTCATCCCTGGTGTGGTCCCATCGTGCCTCACCTTCGTCACTCCCAATGTCGAACCCTTCCGCCTAGCCATTGCTATCGGCATCGTTCCATCAAGCCTCATCAAGCCCCCCCTCTCTCTCTCTCTCTCTCTCTCTCTCTCTCTCTCCCCCTGCACGCGACCTTCAATTGATGGTGGTGCTCGAGCACAGATCTGGGTCACACAACATGGCCTCATATCTGAACGCATAATTTGCGATGTCCACATAGGTGTCCTGGTCGACATATTAAATGACTAGTTAATGGTGTTAACTGCAACATCAACAATTTTCCTCAGTATTTATTGAGTCAAATTAAAAAGTATAAGGACTAAATTGAAATGCAAAAGTTTCTTGGACAAAATTGAGTACTAAGGAAAAATTCACCCATGCTATTACCCAAAAACAAAAGAAGAAAGTACGAATGATCAAGATCGTTGATTAGGTACATAAGTGAGAGAGGTAAATTAACAGAGAAATGACCTTCATGGGCACCATATTTGCAGAGAAATGGCCTTGAATAATATATGTTTTACGGCAAAAGTACACCACAAATGCCATAACTTGTGTACGGCGATCACTTTGGTGCCATAACTTTTTTTCGGATCACTTTGGTGCCAACTTTTTTTAAAAACGATCATTTTAGTCCCAATGCTGACGTGGCTCGCCGAAAATCCGATGTGGCGCTGACACGGCTCGCTGGAGAGGTCCAGTCATCTGGGTCGCGACGGCGAGGTCCCGCCTCGCCAGATCCGGCCCTCGCCGACCACTGCGCCCACCACCACCGGCCCTTCCCGGAGGTGGTGGCTTGGCGGCAGCAGCGGCGACGGCTCCCTCGCCGCTGCTGCAACCTTTTTTTTTAAAATTATTTTAATTATTATTATTTTTCTAAAAATTAAAAAATTCGAAAAAAAAGCCACATAGTTTTCACGTGTACAAGTCAGACCATTTTTTTTTAATATAAATGCCAGGTCAGCTTTTTGGCCGGAATTTTGGCCGGAGTCACGAAAGTGATCTATTTTCCTCTGACTTTGCACCAAAGTGATCCGAAAAAAAGTTATGCCATCAAAGTGATCGCCGTACACAAGTTATGTAACATCCTGAATTTCGACCTATTTCCGGAATCAATGAAATAGATGTTATTTCTCATTTCATTTTAGTAAGTCTCGCCCGGAACTGATCATTCTCGGGATACTAACCTTTAGGGAATGGCTACCTAGGGAAATGTACGTGGACCTAAGAACTCGATCATGAGTCGACCTTCGGTGACGATCGAGGTCGCCATGACTCGAATAACCCTAGGTCGATACGCGTAATCCCTAAACAGCCGCCCGTTAGTAAGAGACCCTAAAATTGAGATTGGGCGATTTTGATCGCGAAATTGGATCCGGACTTGGATGTCGATTTTCGAGGTCGTGCGCGACTATTTTTACGAGGATGACGTCATTTTAGTGTGGCCAATGATGTTTGGGGTAAGTACGGTCGAAAAATGGAATTTCGACCCAGAACTCAGAAATTACAGTTTTGCCCATGTGGGCACCGAGGCTGGATTCGGAGGCCGTTTGAGGTTATTTTTCGCGGCCAAGGTCATTTTGGGGTGGCCACGCACATTTAGAGTGGTTTTGGCCAAAAATTGGAATTTCGACAAAAATTGGAAAAATAATATTATTTTATTCCCGGAACTTCGCAGTCGATTTTCGAGGACTTAGAAAGTGAATTTCGCGATTCTGACGCCATATTATGTTGGCCACGCACATATGAAACACGTATGTGCGAAAATTGGAATTTCGCCCCGGGACCGGAAAATTACGACTTTGCCCCTAGGCCTATTTTTGGGTATTCCGAATTTTGGAAATTAAATTTGGGGATTAATTGTGGATAAATATCAGTCCCAAAATATTGGACCAAAATGCCCTTGGATATTTTGGCTTAGGAGAATATTGGCCAAGTAAGGAGGGGCAAAATTGGAATTTGGAAAGTTTGGTCAAATTTGATTATTTAAGTCAAGAAACCTTCTCTCTCTCTCCTCATTCCTCTCACTCTCCCTCCACGGCAGCCCCTCCCCCTCACAGAACCAGTTTCCTTCCCCATCCTCTCCCCCATACCGATTTCCCCTTCCCCTCTCTCGGCCGCGTGGACGCCGATCACCGCCGGGAGACCGTCGCTGCCGCCGTGTGCCACCGTGAGCCGCCAGCCAGCCGTTCCCCCTTCCCGCTCTAGCCGAGTTAGCCTAGAGTTTGGGCAAGTCGCGATCTAATCCCTATTTAGGACGTCGGGTATTTTCGGACTCGTTCGGGTATGGTTTAGAGGATTTAGACGGTGATTAAGGTGTCGATAATGGTTTTTGGTGGCTGATCGTGGTTGTTGATGGCTGATCGTGACTGTTAGCGGGTGTTGCGGGTTGGATTAGACGTCGGGAAATGAGTTTAGGCAGTTGGAATTCGGTAGGAATCGGTTCGGGTTTGAATCCGTGAGGTTCGGGGTGAATCGCGGATTCGCGGTTACTGTACCTTCCCGGTTTGCTATTTTTGTAGAGAATTTTGGGTGCCGAATTTGAGGAAATTTTCTTCATGAAAGTTTCTTCCAACATCTTTAAGTATGACATAATTTAATTTGGGAATTTTTGGAAATCATTTGATGCCATTCGGAAGTCCATCTTTGGACCGAAATAAAACTGCCCGATTTACTGTTCACCCGACCTTCGGGTCTGTTCGAATTTTTACAATTTTTCCAGGCCTATTTTCAAAATACTTCCTTCACCAAAATTGTTGGGGACATTTGTGGCTATAACATATAAAAATTTCAAGGCTTTCCAAAATGATTTGGATACTGAATGAGTTGTATTTTGATGGCCTGAGGGGCTGTCCGAGCGAACCGGATTTCGTCTGACTTTGAGTGTCAAAACGAGGTGTTTATGGTTTGAACTGGGTTTCTAGTTCTTCACGGAAAATGTTCATTGAGATGTTTTGTACAACATATTAAAATTTCATAATTTTGGAGTTGGTTTACTATTTATTTCAAATGGATTTCTGTCACTGCGCAACTGCCCAGTTTGGACCCGATTTTACATATTCTCGATTTTTCTCTCTCTCGAGAATTATTCGGTGTTATCGTGGCATTTTGATGGGTAGTTTGATGCTTGAATGAGCTCGTATGTGTGATTGTGTGGCTGTGAGGTGTGGTGGCATGATTGCGCATTGAGTTCGCATGCCAAGCTTGGGTGTTTGTGTGGTGTTCGCGTGATGAGGATGGGTAATTGTGAATAGTGTGTGCGATATGTGAATTTGTGTGTGTGACCGTGTGTATGTGTGGCCGTGTGGTACGTGTAGAGAGTGTGGAACGAAGGTACGGGAATGTAGGATTGATGGGAAAAGTGATACCCTGAGGCGTGTTCGTTTACGCGGGGTAAGGTCCGTCCCGAGGCGTGTTCGTTTACGCGGGACGATGCCGCCCCCGACGAGGTGACGATGCCCGGCCCGACGGGGTGACGATGCCCGACGTGGGTCGAAGACCGTTGGCCTCGATGCGTTTTACGCGGGCGCGGTAGAAGGAAAGTATGTGTAGGATTCCGTCCTGAGGCGTGTTCGTTTACGCGGGACGATGCCGTCCCTGACGAGGTGACGATGCCCGGCCCGACGGGGTGTCGATGCCTGACGAGGTCAGAAGACCGTTGGCCTGATGCGTTTTACGCGGGCGCGGTAGTGGTGGAAAGGTTGAGAACGAGCGGGATTTGGCTTGACATGTGAGGATTGTGAAAGTGATGCATGGTGTGAGTTAGTGTGCGAGTGTGTTTGTATCGCGTGATGCAGTGCGCGATTATGGGGTAAAATCTGCTAGGCATGGTATGGGACGTGCCCAAGTGGGTTTTGCTTTATAATCGAGGCACGCGCGCGGCTGTGATGTATTGCTGTGGTATGATTGGCGCGTGTATTGATATGTGGAAAGTGTGTGATGGCATTTGTGCAAGAATTGTATGTTGGGATTGTGGGCTAACGTGCATGGTGCGTATGCAGAGAGTCCAGGTATGTGTGAATGTTTGATTGCTGGTTGTGTGGTTGTTTGGTTGCGCATTTGGATGTGTCTGGAATTACGTGATAGCCTAGGTGGGGCTTAGGTTGTGACTTATTGAGATGTGATCTCATGGTTGTTTCAACCAAACCATTTCAGAGCCCCTGCCTGAATGTCGAGATTGAGGTCGACTCGGAGTCGTCAGGTGAGCATATAGCTGCGGAGGATTCAGGTGGTGATGCCGAGGACAGTGAGTCAGAGTGGACGCCTTCGAGAGGGCGTAGGGGATAGTTCTGGGAGGAGGATGCGCCCCATTTTTGGATAGTGCTGACCTAGAGAGCTGATCTTGATATTTTGGTGGTTTGGAGTTTATAGTTCGGTGTGCTTATAAATTATTTTGTGGTTTGTATTGGCGGATGATGTAAATATTTGGAAGTGTAATATATGCTTGGTGGTTTGACGATTTGTTCCTTCCTGGTGTTCTCCAATTTTAATGTCCGGGATTTTTGATTGCTTCCGCCGCGAGTTAACTCTGATGAATCGTTGGGTCGGCGACGTTGTTCCTGGGACGTCGCACTCTGTTCGACCGGAGACGGGATGTTGCGGGCTCGACGGGGGTTCGGGGCGTGACAAGTTATGACACTTGTGGTGTACTTTTGCCTATGTTTTACCTCTAACATTAGTTCATCCAATGCAACTGAGTGATGTCAAGATGCTATTCTTTTAATTCGTTGATATTTCCCTCATGAGAAATGGTTAATAAAACATCCAAGAAGATAGAAATTGCATATCCTTATTTTGAATCTTTTCAATCTCCTCCACAGAAGAGAGATACTTCCCCTTTAGAGCCTTAAACTCTGTCTGCGTCCAAACATGGCCCCATCCGACTTCAACTTCTTTTAGCAAGCTTGAACCTGTTGGGCGGCGACATTTTTTCTTCCTCTTTTGAGAGGCTGGAGAAATAAAAGTTTCCAAGTATACCGAATGCTGGGTCGCCAGTGGTGAGGGCCGCGAAATACAGCATCCCTCACCTCCCGAACTATCTCTCCATTTGGGAGGATTCCGCTCCGCACTTGGCTACCCAGGCGTTTACTGTGGGCGTGATAACTGGGACACCAGAACTGTGTTCTTTCCCTTTGAGAGCTCGGCCTGCCAAAATAAAACCAGAATTAGAAGATTGGGCTTCCCTGTACCTATCATAATGTTTCAGCATTCTTAAAACCAAAGAGTCGGGCGGAGAAGGGGGGATCGCACTTCTGATGCTCTTTCCAATTAAGTCCTACAGATGAAAAATAGTCTCAGAATTAGTATGTCCCAAATGTCGATTCCAACTGCAATAATGATCGAGTTAAATCGATGAGATCGGGAGAGAGGGAGCAGGTGAAGATTCCAAGTGTTGCCATCGCCCTGGATCTAGGCAAGCAACCCTTGCCGTCAAGTGCACTGCCGCCAGAAGGTCCCTGGCACACGGCGGCAAGGATCGCAACCTTGCCTATACCAAGGCTGAGCTTCCCCTCCCCCTTCTCTCTCTCTCTCTCTAGGTTTGTGATTTTTAAAATTTTTCTTCATGAGCATGTCCCCGTTTACTTGTTTTTTTTCCCCATGTTAACGTTTGATAGGAAAAGAGTCTTTGTGTGGCACTAACGTGGGCGGCCAATTCAGCATTTCCATCCGAATTTTTGACGGAAGGATTAACATGAACAAAGAAACAGATAAATCAATGATATGATTGCACCAAAAGAAAGTTTTAGGGACGATATTGCACAAATCGAAAAAGTTCAAGAATTTAGGATCCGTTCGTTTGGCGGAAAATATTCTCCTTTTGGAAAATATTTTCCCGGAAGTCATTTTCCTGGAAAATGTTTTCCCGAAACATAATTTTCTGGTGTTCGGTGACTAATATGAAAAAGTTTCGGAAAATATTTTTCACCAGCGACCGGCGGCTAGGGGTGTCAAAAGTACCCGCTCAAACATGACCCGACCCGACCCGACCCGACCCGACCCGACCCAAACATGAAATTTTTATATTGGGTCGGGTTGGACCTTAACTTGTTTAGGTAATAATATAAACAAGACTTCAACTTGTTTTGGATCTACCCGAGCCTGCCCGAAACAAGCCCACTGGAAACAAACAAGAACCATTTGATCTTCTTGCTCTCAAGGGCCAAGCCCACCCGAAACCTATCATCTTCTTCCATAGCTCTTTTCTCTTTCTAGCGGATCTCGTCTCCTCCCCAGTCTGGCTTGCGCCACCTCCCTCGATCCACCGTCATCATCATCCCCTCCCAGGCATCGAGCTCGAACCAGGTCAGCCCCCGCAAACCCTAACTCCCTCCCGATTTCGTGAATGAAAGCGGGTCCATCGTGCGTCGCCAACCGCTACGTCAGATAGCGGATTCTGAATTGTGGGTCTTTCGAAGTTTCGCTTTTCCGATAGCAAATTGTGGGTTTATCGCTGATGGGTGCGGGTTTGCTGTTCGATGTGAAGCGAATTCCGTGGTGGGTTTCGCGATAGCTGCGGCGAGAGCTCCCTCTCCGCCGTCAAGGTCCCCATCTCCCTCTCTTCCGTACTTTCGCTTCGCGCTGGTCTAGGGTGTCGTTGGTCTAGGGTTTCGCTGGATCAATGCTACTACTGGAATATGGTTGCTGATATGAATCTGCCATTGGTTGTCTCCTTATGTTGTGATTTTCCTCTTTTTAATTGATAATTAGTTTTTTCTGAATCGCAGTGGAGCAAACATGGAGCCAACCCACAATAAAAGGCACACCACCTGCTCCAAGGGACGGCCATAGTTTTACTAATGTTGGTGACAATTTGTTTGTGTTTGGTGGGACGGATGGACGAACCCTCTCGTGGATTTGCATATACTAGACACTCGTAAGTCACATTTACCTTCTCCTTTCGCCCATGGTGGCCATACAGTCTTGTCGACTAATAATCTGTGCATCTTTTCATTATACTTGCAACAGCAGAAGTTGGGCTCTTTTTAATGTAGCTCACGAATATGTTACATAGCTTCTCATACATGGATATCACCAATTACAAGGGGAGAGGCACCGGAGGCAAGGCAGGGTCATAGTGCAGCACCTGTGTGTAGAAGGCTGCTCATATTTGGTGGGTATGGAAAATCTCCTGATGATGAGGATGAAGTAAATTATAATGATCTCTTCATATTGAACACAAGTACATTCTTTTTAAAAGTCGACATTTCTTCTTTGCTTCTAGTCCAAATTGACATCTATTTGTGAAATTTCCCTGTCTGTGCATATGAGAGGTGGGTTTAAGACCTTCCATTTGTGTTTTCCCAAACGATGTTGTTTGTTTCTCGATCGTTGTCCAGGTCTTGTCAGTTGCTTCTCTAGCTTATTTATGCAGCTACTTGGAGTAGAAAATAGACAGGTTCATGTAAACACTCTAAAAAACAATTGGTGTTTCTTTTGTTTTTGCAGCTGCTGTTTGCTCGGGAGTCCTTCGTAAAGACCAAGCCAGCGAAGGAGCATGTGGTCGCCGGATGGGAGCCGAAGGTCAATGCAGCATGAATCGCTGCTTCTGCGTTATGAGCGTTAGTTGAACTTTTGTTATGGAAGTGTGGTTGAGGCTTGAGAGCTCTCTGCCTATTAGTTAAGCCAATAAATGTACCGACTCATCTCACCCTTGTTGGGCTTATTGTTTTGTCAACGAAGCCTTATCAATGTACTTAGCCCCCTTCTGTTCTATCTTTTGTATCATTTCAATAATGATTACTAAACCTCTAAACACGAACCCGACCCGACCCGAACCCGACCCGATTGTGCGATTATATCATGTTCGGGTCTTGTTTCGAGTCGGGCCAAGCACATATATTCATTGTTTCGGGTCGGGTCGGGTATCATGAAAACCCGACCCGACCCGTTGACACCCCTACCGTCGGCGGCCGGCGATCGGCTGGCGGCGGGGGCATGGCCGACGGGCGACGGCCACGCGACTGCGGGCAGCACTGGGCAAGCAGCTTTCACTGGGGCCGGGATCGGCGGGGCGGCGGGCGGCGGGCGTGTCGGCCACGGCGATCCGGCGGCGGTGCATGGGCGGCGGCCGGCGGCAGCGGGGGCGGCGGCGACCGGCGGCCAACAGTGGTGACCAGCGATCAACTTCCTCTCCCACGGAAAATATTTTCCTTCCCATAGGCAATTTTGCCTTCAATTTGGGGGAAAATGATTTCCTCTTTGTGAAAAGAGGAAATTATTTTCCTCAAAACAATGAAGGATTTGGGGGTGGGTCCACCCCCAAACACCGGAAAACGCGGAAAATATTTTCCAAAAAAATATTTTTCCGCAAACGAACACAGCCTCACTATGGCTTTATCCCTCTCGTCATTGCACAACCAGGTGAAATTTGGGTAGACTCAACCGAAGTACAAGCCCAACTATTTATGAAAAGACTAAGTAATGTCTTAGATACGAGCCCAACACATACTTCCCTACTTCTAAACAAGTAATCGGAAGCCCGAAAATTCGGACCGGCCCGACCCTGAATTCAATTGCCCGAAATGGTCAACCCGGTCTTCGGGCCTTTTTTATTTCTATTCAAGCCGGGCCCAAAATTCAGGCTCCACATGGTCAATCTCGAATGGCCCCGACCGGTCCGAAAGTTTTAGTATGTCTATTCATATTTGTGATAAAAAAAAAATTATGAAAACCCACTTTTTTAATTTCAGAAAGGGGAAAAACCTTTGATTCTTACTACTTGCCTAAACTCTTGAAATAAGGAAAAATATATTATGGAAAATATTAGTATTTATAAAAAGTAAGTAACCCAAATTAAAATTAAGTAGGTCTTCCCAAATTGCATTTAACATGGGTATTAGGTATAAAATAACACACGCAATTTGCAATAGTATTTTAAAAAAATTTAACTGGAATAATCAAAGAAAAAATTAAACATACCATAAATCCAATTGCGTCACTTTCGTGCATAAGCATTTAACTACGCACTTTCGTGCATAATCATCCTTGATAACTGGTAAGTGCTAGTACTTGGATTTACAAATTACCAATTTACAATTGAGATCGTTGCTTTATCGTTTTATTATCGATAAGCGGACTTATTTGATTCAAAAATTTTGAAATGAAACTAGGGCATGTTAAATTTATAGGATCATTACGATCCTTGATGACCTCACAAAAACTTCATAATCACATGCTTTTGCACTTGACTTGCTGAGTTCTTAGGTGGCATGTGTAAGATTTAATTCCATGTTGATAAATATGTAGTTCCTTATTGATAAATGGGGGAGCTCGCTGGCGATAAACATGTCGAGTACATTTTGTCCGTTGAAAAGGTAGGTATGAAATTTTACAATTCTCTCCTTGTTCTCTTGTCCACTTCCTGCCGGTTACTGAAAATGATTTGGTTTATCTGTATTTGCTGCTATTCAGCATGTTGGAGTTTACTGATTTGAGTTTTTGGGGTTGACTTGCACTTAGAAAAAAGATAGTTTTGAGTCGGTGGTAATGAAGCACTTGAGATTGAATGGAGCATATTGGGGATTTACCACTCTAGATCTTCTTGGAAAACTTGACACTGTGGATTCAAATGAAGTTGCTTTAAGGATCCTGCAATACCAGCACGAGTCTGGTTTGTACGTCTTGGCTTCTTTTTTGCGATTACCCATGAAAAACACGCAACTAACAGAACCTCCACTCCACATTCAATCGAATATTTCTTATTTGACAGTATGATTAAGATTTTAGCTTGGATTAACAAATTCCATCTATTACAATGATGACCACGTCTTAGGGCTGCTTGTGCAGGCAGCTTTGGTGGAAATATGGGACGTGATCCGCATCTGCTGTATACACTCAACGCTTTGCAAGTTTTGGCCCTTTCTGACAAGCTAGATGTTCTGGACATCAATAAGGTGACAGATTGCATCCTTTTGAATAAAGCATCCTAGATTTGCAAATTCTTACCATTGATGCAAGTTCCTCGGTGTTTTTTTTTTTATGTTTTTAAGTTTTCATCATTATGAGAGTGATAAACTTACCTTAGGCTCTGTTTTGCATGTAAGAGGTCAGATTATGTCATGTTACGGAACCTTGATTACAGTTACTTCATAGTGTGTATATTGCTAGCCAAACATTGACAAGGTTCTCATTTCTCATATAGCCACATAAGGCTCACTAATTCCGGAGTAGAATTACGCATAAAACAATGAAGCATCAGGGAAGTAAATTGAGATGCACAACTGCCTGACCAAGCACCTTGCAACGAAGTGGCTCATTTTGCTCTCTTCTTTCAGTTCAAATCAGAAGATTGTTGCAAAACGGAGAACGGGAACGTGGGAGTAATCATTAAGCTACAAGATCTGGTGTTTCTGCTTCAACAGATAACAAAGCCGTGTGTACTTTGTCCAGCCAATTGTCCAGTCGGTCATGCAGTAATTTGACCTGTGGAATCCCCAAAACTCTTGGCCGCACCCATGAAACGTATACTGTCCCCTCAACTTGATCGATTATGCCCTCCACAAGATGAACCTGAGTTGAGATTCTAATGATTAGACTACTGTAAAATAAGGTAAATGCTTGAATATCGGTTTTCCATTACGTATGCTAGAGCAGAGAAGGTGCAAGCAATTACAACATCCATGTATTTGCCATTACGGCGTATGCAAGAAAAGGAAATTGTACTCTAGATTTTGAGCAACAGCATACTGACACATATCCAAAGCTCTTCTATTCTTACACCAGAAATAGTGGCGGTCAGTCTACAAGCATGAATAAATAACTCAAAGTAATCATCTTTTACACCCACCCCCAATAATGAAACTTAGCATCAACGTTAAAAGAATAAAAAGAAATGCCGATTCGCATCGGCCACCACTTGTTGTATAATACTATTTATGGTTGATTAATACTAGCTAAGTCTCTTAATAGGGCGCATGTTCACAGCAGTCACTTTAGGCACATTCCGTGCAACTAACCCACAAACTTCTAGCCCCTCCAACCATATGCAGCAGACCTCAAATTACCAACGGAAAATGCAACCGCACAAAATATGAAAACAACAAACCTGGTTATCCCATTTAATTCTGTATGAAGAACCGAGAAGAGAAGCATTGTTTGCTTCATTTTCAATCATTGAGAGCTCCTCACAGGTAATAAAAAGACAGTGGATACTCATTAAAGAGACCATTATATATACTTACAAACTCTTCAGGAGAAGATGCTCAACATCCTGTGTAGAAAGCTTTGTGAGCTCTGCATCAACATTCATGGGAATGGTTCGATCCTTAGATGGTCGGCTCCGAAAATTTACACCGCCGTTGTCCATCAAAGCTGTAATAAACTCTGTTTCCCAAATTATGCAACTTTCCAATATTAATTCAGCTCACAAATACACATAATTCTTGTAACACCCCAACTAACAGATGCACAACACGCCGGCACATGATTACACGCAATCGAGCAGTCCACACAGAAGCATAGCAACATAACTAGACTAGCCTTTCCAATAGTCAAACAATTGCAAAAGAAAGCAGACCCTTATACAGCTACATTACCACATGAAGCTAGAGATCGAGCTCATGCTTAACTACGCAAAGATAAATCACACAAATTACATTTAACTAAACACCAACCGCCACACCACTCGCGCCTGTTCTTCAGCGATTAGCTGGTGATTCCCGAGCTTGAGTTCAGGCCCATGCCTCCCGCCACTGATGGAGTTAATGAGTGCAACCATCGGAGCCTCGTGTGGTACCAAATTCACAGCAGTCACTTTAGGCACATTCCGTGCAACTAACCCACAAACTTCTAGCCCCTTCAACCATATGCAGCAGACCTCAAATTACCAATGGAAAATACAACTGCCCAATATATGAAATAAACAAACCTGGTTATCCCATTTAATTCTGTATGAAGAACCGAGAAGAGAAGCATTGATTGCTTCATTTTCAATCATTGAGAGCTCCTCACAGGCAATAAAGAGACATTGGAAACTCATTAAAGAGACCGTTATATATACTTACAGACAAACTCTTCATGAGAACATGCTCAACATCCCGTGTAGAAAGCTTTTGTGCGCTCTGCATTAACATTCATGGGAATGGTTCGATCCTCAGATGGTCAACTCCGAAAATTCACATCGCCGTTCTCCATCAAAGCTGTAATAAACTCTGTTTCCCAAATTTTGCAACTTTCTAATATTAATTCAGCTCACCAAATACACATAATTCTTGTAATACCCCAACAAACAGATGCACAACACGCCGGCACATGATTACACGCAATCGAGCAGTCCACACAGAAGCATAGCAACATATAACTAGACTGGGCTTTCCAATAGTCAAACAATTGGAAAAGAGAGATAAATCACGCGATTACATTCAACTAAACACCAACCGCCACACCACTCGCGCCTGTTCTTCAGCGGTTAGCTGGTGATTCCAGAGCTTGAGTTCAGGCCCATGCCTCCCGCCACTGATGGAGTTAATGAATACAACCCTCGTAGCCTCATGTGGTACCAAATTCCTCCAGCTGAGCGGCAGTGAAGATGAAAATGTGCACGAGAGTGGAAATTGGCACTGAAGAAGGACTTGAAGGTCACGGACATCGAACTTGAAGCTCGCGAAGACGGACTTGAAGCTCGCGGACGACGGAGCCTGGGAAAGAAGAGACGACGGTGAACAAAATTGCCCTCGTTTTAGTCTCCAGAAAATGTCGGCCGGTGAACATTCGGCCTAGTCCCGATTCGATTCGTGATCTGAGACTGACTCTGTCTCTCTCTTTCTTTATTTCTCTTCATTTTCCCAGTTCTGCAGAAGGAAATGATACGGTGAGTTTGAGGTCTCTTGGGCCTAAATTTCTCTTAAGAAAGGCCACCCTTTTGTTATTGGACGGTGAGGGATGTAATATCCCCCAACCTCACCACCGAAGTTGACACACACACGCACGCAGCATATGGAGATTCCAAGTAAGATGGGGAATTTTAATAAAGATTGTCCCTGGTTGCACGTTTTAGAATCGGTTCATTGTCTATCTTCACTAGAATAAAGCAGAAATAGAAAGCAAGCGAAGCAGAAGAAACAGCGATGATCTATGGACAGGAAGAAGGCTCACCGTTTTCTGCAGAGGATTCCCTGTTTCTGTTTCGGAGTCCGTTGTTCCAATTTCAGAGTCCGGGGCTTCCTTTGTTCCATTCAGAATCTTCTCTCTGTAAGACTCCCAATATTCGAAATGAAGATCTGAACTAATTTTGAGTAACTTCTCACAATCTTTTATGTTTATCAAGCACTCATTCGGTATTTTTGAGTTCGATGCGTAAAAAATCCTTTCCATTGATCTGCACCCATAAATTCCCAACCACCGCAAAAACTCTAATTCGTCAATGCCCTCGACAACCTGCAGGCTCGGGCACTGGTCAATCTTTAATTGTTTCAAGTTCTTCAAGGTTGACAAACCGCCTAAGCTTTTTAATGAAGAGCACTCTTGAACAGAAAACTTTTCCAATGATTCAAACGTACAAACAAATTGAATATCCTGTACCTTTGGGCAACTTGACAGAAGGAATTTTTTAAGCATCTTTAGGGGGCTTGGGTCCTCATTGCTTGCTGTTGTACTTGACGATCTCGGGATCGATGACGGATCGTGAGGAAGATGGACTACCCGATCGAGTTGGGAAAAAGAAGTACTACATGTTATGTGTATCGTCGATGCATCAAGAATCCTTTCCATTGATGTGCACTCCTCGATTTTCAACCAATACAAATACTCTAATTTTTCAATGCCCTCGACAACCTGTAGGCTCACGCATCGGATAATACTTAAATACTTCAAATTCTTCAAGTTTGACAAACCGCCTAAGCTTTTTAATGAAGAGCATTCTTCAACGTAAAATTCTTCCAATGATTCCAACGTAGAAACAAATTGAATATCCTGTAACTCTGGGAACCCCAACAGAACGAATCTTTGAAGCATGTTTAGGGAGCTTGGGAAATGGAAGGCTCCCCTCCAATGATCGATCAACTCGGGAGCTTGTAGTTCATTGCACCCCAGCTCCTCCGGAAGACAAGCCAACCTCTCGGAAGATTTGCAGTCCTGAATACGTGATCTCTCCGACGATTCTAAGACATCGAGTAATTGAACATCATGTTGCTCGTGCACCTTGTTTTCTCTCAATTTTCTCGAACTTGATGAAACAGTCTCCTTTTCCGATGGAGGAAGCCCGTCGAGGTGTACTTGTTTTCCTCGAGTGTCGTAGAGCTCTAAAACTATCAAGTTTGATGGAAGTTGTTTGAAAGTTGGTAAGTCCAGTCCATATAGAGTAATTTCTTTCAGCCGAGAAAGGGAACCCAACTCAATAGTTGGTGCGCGGACATTTGGAAAGCAAAAGCGCAGCTTGCTTAGTTTGAATAACTTCCCGATCCACCGTAAGTCGCAAGTTTGAATTATATCTGATCCGGCCATTGAATGAGAGCGATCGGATAGGTTCAGTTCAACTAGATTAGTAAGATACGAGAGGTTAGGGACAGTCAGCAACGAAGTAGATCTCAACACTAAAGTGGCCAAACTTTTGGGGAGCATCGGCAGCTCTTGTATCCCATTACAACCATCCATGTCCAGTGTTCGGAGTTGACAAAGCTCGCTCATTGTGCTGGGCAGTTTTTCAATTGGTGTGATTGATAAATCTATAGATGACAGCTTTGCTAGTCTACCAATGGAATCTGGTAATCTTGTAATTCCTGTGCCTGATACATCCAGCTTCGTTAACGACTCTAATTTCGAAACTGAGTCGGGGAGTTCACTCAAGCCACCGCATAACTTAAGAGAGAGGTGCCGCAAATCCCATAGCTCTCCAATTTGTTCAGGCAATTTTCTAAGTTTGTGGCATAACTCAAGTCTCAAGTCAGTCAGCCACCTCAAATTCCCTATAGAGCAATCAATTTCCGAGAAAGACAAACTACAACAAATAGTCAACTTCTCTAAAACTGAGTCCTTTGGAAAGGTTGGTGTCCAATGGATCAAGTCATTATTCTTAATAGCGAGAACCTTCAATTTCCTTGCCCTCTACAAAGCCAATGAAAAATCAGGACGGACAAGAAATAAATATGGATTTAGGCTACCAATTTGTATCATATGTCATCTGATCCTCTCACTAAATGAGAAAATTAGATTATAAATCCATCAAATTTTGTCCTTCATTGAATAAGAAAAATAGGCTAAGAGGGAAACTGGCGTACCTTGATTAGGCTCTTGAACACATCATCTGTGAATTGAAGCCCAGAAAGATTCACCACAACCGCGTTTTGTAGATGCGACAAATTGGTTGCCTCCAAATGTTGATTACGGCGGGCTTTATCAATACGAATATAAGGGTAACACAAATCGATCCATCTCAACTTGGAAAGACAGCCTGTAAAGTCACCTTGGCAGTTTACGTTATACAAAGAAAGAAACCGTATATGTGGGAACCGCTTAATTTCCTCCGAGGTGACAGTTATACGATCCTTTAATGATCGCAAACAGAGTGCTTCAACTTGAACGCCTTCCTTGATCTGCCAATGACATTGAGGAGTAGAAGCAGGAATTTGTCAATATCCCACTATTTTATTTCGTAGAAGAGAAGAAAAAACAAAACAGAAGAGTATCTCCCAAATAAAAAACGTGAATCCTCAATTAAGAAGAGGGTATAAGCAATTTTCTATTCAAATTTAGCCATACTTTACCTCTGTTGATGTTAATCTTAATTCGCGAATGATGTCTTTTTCATCCCACAACCTGGTATGCTCTTGTTTGGCAATTTCCCTTCCAAGATCTCTAAATTGATCGTGCATCCCAAACCTATCATCGTCTAAAACCTCTATCATGCACCTCTTAATAAGGACCTTGATGGCACGCTCCGGGAAAAACTCACGATCTTTCCACATGTACATTGGATTAGTCTTATCCTCACCAATGAAAAAACATGCAATATCCAGGAATATCTGTTGATGTTTAGGCTCTAAGGCATCATAGCTAATCTTTAGCTTTCCCAAGACATCCTCATGAGGTGTTTTCTTTAGCTTTTGTAGCCACTCTTCCCATATTCCTCTTGTTTCCTCACCAAAAAGCGATGAACCTATTGCTTCAAGAGCTAAAGGTAGTCCACCTGCAGTAGACACAATGCTTTTTGAAAGAGTGTAGTAATTGGCTGGAGGAGAGTTGTCATTGAAGGCATGCCTACTAAAAAGTTTGAGTGCGTCTTTGTCGCTCAACCCCACCATTTCATAATCCTTGAATTTATTCTCAAATCCCCTGATATTTAGAACGCTCTTGTCCCTAGTGGTGACGAGTATCTTAGTACCAAGACACAAAGAGTTCACTGGGATTAGATTTTCGATTTGGTTGCCCTCATCAACATCATCCAATACAATTAGCATCTTCTTGTTGCAAACTGTTTCTCCAATCTTAATGATCCCTAGATCATTGTTGGCAATGTTAGGAGCCTCTCTATAATAAGAGATATCAGACAATAATTTTTTTTGCAACTCTAATAAGCCCTTGGTTTTTGCCGTTTCCCTCACGTCATCAAGAAAGCTGCAGTTTCTCCCAAAGCAAGGACATAGTTGGTTGAAGATAATCTTGGCGAGTGTTGTTTTACCAATGCCGCCCATCCCGTAGATTACAATTATCCGCACACCACCACGATTGATGTCTAATAATTTTTTTATGGCAGCTATTTGATCCTCCATTCCAACTAAATCTTTAGTCACTTGTCTTTGTCTTGTCTCGAGCCTATTCACGACCTCATTAACAACCAACTTGATAAGATCCCCATGGCTGCCACAGAGTTGAACAGTTTCAATTGAGAAAAGGTGACAAATTTGCATGTTGACCAACCATCTACTAAGCAACCGTGTGGGAACGCGATCAAGTTTAGGATATACAAAAATTCAACGTTACCCCCAAAGCTTCAGGAACATGATGAATTACGAACTTGAACATCCATTACAAGTTTAAGTAAAAGGAATAGAGGAAGAGAAATGTTTGATCTTTATATCGAGTAGAAGAATCAAAATTTCTGGCAAAAAAGGGTAGAAGAATCAAAATATTAACGTCTGATGAATTACTGTAATAGAAGATTTACTTATTTCTTTCGACGTGGAAAAGAACTTTGCACAGGCAATAGTTCCTTAATCAAGTTCTCTAGCATACAATAGGAATCTTAATACATACATGGATCAAATTAGTATAAAAAAGATGAAGCAAAGCCAAATTTTGTATACGATGGAAAATAGGTGAAAAACGAAATTAAAATAACCCTATTAGGTCATAAAAAATTTAGAAATCTCGTGACTCAACAAAAATAGAAGAAGAATTTGAAACTTTCTGTTTAAATTTAGGGAAATTAGAGTTGAAATATAATTAATAAATTTTATAAGAAGTATGGCCCGATTGTACAAACTAATTTTCGCTATCATGGTTAGAATGTTACCCTTGAGATTCCTCCAGCTCCCATCCCTTGGTGCGATCAACTTCTTTGAGAGCCTGCCGCCACGTCTCTACATCATCAGAGTTGAACTTCTTCTTCTGATCCTCCATCTTTTGCTCCAAATTCAATATGGCTTCGCTGTACAACGTGGTTTTCAGCTTCACGTCATCAGGTTTCACGTCGTAGAAGATGGGCAATATGACTTTCTTATTCCCACCTTCTTTAGATTTAGAGGTGTTCTCCACCATCTTCGCAAGCTCCCAAAGGCACCAGTGACTTGAAGCATAGTTTTTGGAGAAGATGGGTATGTAGACCTTGGAATCGTCAATCGCTCGTAGAAGGTTGTCCCTAATTCTTTCACCCGGTCGAAGATCCTCGTCATCGATGAAAACACGAATCCCAGCATCTTCCAAGGTAACGTAGAGGCAATTAGTGAATCCACGACGAGTGTCGGGCCCTCTAAAACTCAGGAACACCTGATACTCACTTCCATATGTATTGCTTGTGCTCGTTCTGGTCTCTGAGCTCGCCATGGGAGCTCACTTCGCACTTAGCAGGGTCAGCCCTCTCTCTGTGTCTCCAATAGACACTGTTGAAATACTTTCTAGTTTCTACTAGCAAATTCGCACAAAGCCTTGCGGTCCTCGAATGTTAAAAGCCTTTATTACATTCTTAATGTGAAAAGCTTTCTCCACCAGATCATCCTCCCACAAAAATTTACGAAAGGAGAACCAGGGCGTTATATTGGAAAAGGAGAAAAGGGCTGTTTATTATAGGGACGTGTGTATTGCGGGACTCACGGGATTTAATTGAAAGTTCAAAGCGTACAGGCAACTTCGGTGGAGCTTCCAATTTATAGTCAATAAAGTTAATAAGATGGAGGACAATAATGGAGGTGTACCTTTTTAACATGCCCAATTTCTTTCGAGTTTCTTCTTGGTGCTTTTCACTCAGTCCTTTTGAACTTTTGAATTTAAAAAATTTTGATTCTGAAACATTAAAATCATTTATGATTATTTTGTAGATATATCTATAGCTGGACATATTTAAAATCCCAATTCAGTATCGTAAATTCACAATTATCTATATAAATGCATAATAACAAAATATTCCTAAAGAATAGCCATTTATTATGACACATGGAACCCTGCATAATTAAAAAAATCTCCTTTATACTACAGAGAATTGGATTTGCTGCATTCACCTCAAAAAATGCTCCCCTTAAGCCACTACCTAAGCATATGGTTCCTACTCACTATGAAATATTTATTTTGACCTTTTCGTCTTAAAGACTTACTTTTTATTATAATTAATTTTAACCACTCAAATATTATCATAAAATGCGACTTTATATTAAAAAGCATATGATTGTGCAAATCTTTTACTTTTACGCAAGTGGACTATCTATAGGTGAGCAAATGCAATGATGGCCTGTCAATGGCCATGCTGCCACTCCATCGCGGTGTTGCTTTGAACGTGGAAATAAAAGAAAGAGAAACCACGATGGTCTTGACCATAAGAGATGACTTTGCTCAGCTGAAGAAAGGGAAAAGCAGATTAATGACGGCCATTGCCGATGTGGCCCAAAAGAGGAAAAGACGAAGAAAGTTACAATGATAGTGTCTTCTTCATTTTGGCGTGTTTTATTTACGTACGTTTTTCGTGGCGTTATTCGCTGTTTTGACTTGTTGACTAAATTGGTGCAGTGAACAAAGTAATTGATGAGAGGATGACTTGTCCACATTTTTTTTTATCTCATTTACAACACTAGTATCCAAATCATTCGACTCAATTAACATTGATTTATATGCTCAAATCGCTCCATCCACGTGCGTTAGGTTAGCTCCATTCACAGGATGGCTAGCGAGACACTCTAGGGTAGACACCGTGATCAAATCTGAACAAAATGTTGTTTCAAGAATAGCATTCAAAATACACATAATGCATTCATGACAGTTTATACGAACCCAACTTTGCACAAATTATGTACAAAACAACAATCCTTCCAAAGTCATGGCAATCGTATGCCATAACTATGGTCATCTTCGATACGCTACTTTATACAACTTCGCAACACCTTATGGAAAATTCATACAAGGATGTACATCCTATTCTTTCAAGCCATTGTCTCAAACGATTGGGATACATAAAAAAACTCATGCTTACTTTTTAGGTGGAGGCACAATGCATGTGAAGGTGACGTCCCCTTCTTCACTTAAAAGAGAGAGATTCCTTCTTATTGATCAGGGAACATGTGAATTTTTCGGTATCACACGCGGACTGACTAGGTTGAGAGAACAATTAAAAAATTCATACTTGGCACGCATTTATACGGTGAGATTTTATAGAATTACTGCCAACTGTTATAAAAACTTAAGGTATAAGATGAATGTGTGGTTTATTATTTAAATATTCTAACATACACTATATATTTATTTACATACATATGAGCACAAACTTAAGAGTAATCCAGGAGTCGTGAATAAGTGCTCTTGGATAATGTTTCACGTTTTGAAATATTGAATATGTTTTCGACATTAAAGAATTTTAAAAGGAGCTTTCGATTCTCTTAGATAACTCTAATTTTATCATCAATCATGACTTTAAGCTTAGAAACATTGGTCAATATCTTGAGAAAATAAAAAATATATATTTTTTGTGCATTTATTCATGATTGCCTAATGCAAGTTTCTTAACATGTCATCTCACTTTTCAGAATACTTCATATTTGTTCCACATTTCAGATATTTCGCCATTACCCTTTTTTGGTATACATTTCATGCTTCCTTATATTAAATAGTGATAATCCTCGCCTTAAAAAAGATGGTGCATATGAAAATATTTTTTTCCACTCACGTAACTGCTCCCCCTACCAAACAAGTGTCCATATCCTAGAAGGGTCAGGCGAGGCACTACATGACCTATTTGAAGACCGTATCGATCAAGTTTTGAGGGCTATATATGTATCAAAGTGGTTGTTGAAGGTTGGCCAAATTAGCAAAACGCTCTCAAAGGTTGTTATTAATTCTTATGCTTATTCTTTCAAAAAACAAATCTCATGCTTCTAATCGTAATTCTCCAAGAGAGTGTTAATGTAATTCTTGTGCTCTCAAAGGTTGTTATTAATTCTTGTGCTTATTCTTTAAAAAAAAAAAGTCTCATGATTCTAGTCGTAATTCTCTAAGAGAGTGTCAATTTAATTATCGTAAAGAGCACTTTGAGTGTAGAGTGAAATGACTGTCCTTGTAGAGTGAGCTATAGTTCATTGCGGAGAGGCAACTTCATTGTGAACGCTTTTAAAGGTTTCGAGGATTGCATTAGTGGATTCCAACCTTGTTATTGGGCTAATAGAGCTGGGATAATGGAAGAGGTTAAGTAGATAGGTCGAACCACTATAAATTGCTTTGCAATCTCTTTAATCTATTATTCTGTTTACATTTTTGTTGTTGGAAGATATTTGCTCAGCAGTGCGTATTTCGTCTGCAAACACTATTTCATCCTCTACACATTGTTTTGCACGAAAAAAAATTCCAAGTATCTTACAGCAATCATTTTATTTGTATAAAATTGAGTGAAATGACACTAGTAGTTCATGTATTCTTGCCCAAAATTCAAAACCATCCCTACACTTTTTTTTATCCAAAATCGTCCCTGTATTTTAAGAAAGGGTCATCCCTCGTCTTGCTAGTATGTCGCTCCATTTTCCATTCAATTTGTGCTAATGTGGACAATCGGAACACTAAGTAGAAGCCATATCGCTATCAAGAAATTTTGGCATACCATATCTCTCTCTGTACCAAATCCGTTTCAAGTGAGTTTACCGTAAAAAAAATTTAAAAAAAACCTCTTTTGAATTACTAGAAGACTCAAAACTCCTCCTACCCAAAATCAAGCAACTTCGCAGCAGTGCTGCTTCCAATTTATAGTCAAAAAAGTTGATGACTTTACAAATAATAAGGTAGAGGACAATAATGGAGGCGTACCTTTTCACATGCCCAATTTCTTGAGAGTTTCTCCTTTGTGCTTTTCAGTTTTTGCTTTTGAACTTTTGGATTTAAAAAATTTGATTCTCAAACATTTAAATCATTTATAATTATTTTATAGCTATATCTATAGTTTGACATATTTAAAATTCCAATCCAGTATTGTAAATTCACAATTTTTCTATGTAAATGCAATAATAACAAAAAGTTCCTAAAGATTTGCCTCTCGTTATGACACATGAAACTCTGAATAATTAGAAAAATTTCCTCCATACCATAGAGCGTTGGATTTGCTGCATTCAATAAAAAAAGTGCTTTACCTAAGCACCACTTAAGCAAATGCTTCCTACTCATTATGAGATATTTGTTTTGATCTCTTTGCCTTAAGGACCTACCTTTTATTATAATTAAGTACCTTTAACCACTCAATTATTCTCATAAAGTGTGCCTTTATATTAAAAAGCAAATGATTGTGCAAATCTTTTACATTTTTTTTGGAAATGGACTATCTATAGTTGAGGAAATGTAATGATGGCCCTGTCAATGGTCTTGACCATAACAAACAACTATGCTTAGCCGAAGAAAAGGAAAAGAAAAAAGAAGATTGATGATGGCCGCCGCTGATGTTAAAGATTGATCGATGGTCTTCTACGCAATTTCGCAGAAAGCCTCGCGGTTCTCGAATGCAAGTTGAGGACTCTGATGTTAAAGTCATGACGATTGACGAAGAATTTTGAGACTTCTAGGAGACTGTTTAAATATTTTGCATGATGTTTAATTTAACTAATGTATTTAGGACACCCGTTAGTGAGATCTTTATAAAAATAATATTACATTTCACATATTTATAGTGAAATATTTATGATAACATATATGTATTTTTATGTTTTGATACAATTTTTTTTATCTCGTATTAAATAAAATTTAAAATTTGAATTTCGTAATATCTTGAAAAAGTCATCAAATTCAAAGTTATGAGTAGAAATCCTCAAACAAGGAAAAGAATTATAACAAAAATTATTAAAGTGTTCCACGTTGGTTGTTTACACAGTATACATGCTATTTGTATGCATCTAGTCTCCCTTTTCCTGTAAGGTTTTTGGGTTGGACATTTTTACATGTATCATAGCCCGATTCTACCTCAGTTTATATCGATTGCGCTGATTCTTGTTCGTGAAATTCCGTCCGTTCTTTTGGATTGGACATTTTAGCAACAATAACATTACATTCATTAATGGGAAGAGCTTCTATTTACGTTCTTAATGTGAAAAGCTTCTCCACCAGATCATCCTCCTTCAGAAATTTACAAAAGAAGAACAAGTGCGTTACCTTAGAAAAGGAGAAAAGGATGTTTATTGTAAGATATAAACGATGAAATTCTTGGTTTGAACGCCCGAAGTCCGATGCCACTTTCGTTAGTGAGAGACATCATTTTGGACGTTTGTATTGCGTGACTCATGGGATTTAATTGAAAGTTAGGGACAGGCAACTTCACAGCAGCTGCAGCTTTCAATTCATAGTCAATAAAGTTGATGGCTTTAGAAAAAATGAGACGTAGGACAATGATGGTGATGTACCATTCACACGCCCAATTTCTTTCGAGTTCCTTCTTGGTGCCTTTGAACTTTTAGATTAAAAAAAATGATTCTCGAATGTTTAAATCATTTATGATTACTCTATAGCTATATCTATGGTTAAACATATTTATATAGATAAAATAATAATTTATCTATATAAATGCATGGTCACATATATTCCTAAAGAATCAACTCTCATTATGACATATGGAACTCTAAATAATGAGAAAATTTCCTTCATACTACAGAGATTGGATTTGCTGCATTCGCTACAAAATATGATCCACCTAAGTCTATACTTACTACTCTTAATGAAATATTTGATTTGATCTCTTCAGCTTAAAGACTTATCTTATTATAATTAATTACCTTTAACTACTCAAATATTCTCATAAATATTCGACCAAAAAAAAATGTTCTCATAAATGTGCCGTTATATTAAAAAGTAAATGATTGCGCAAGCAACACTTATTTCCTTATTTACAACTATTAGAATGTGAGCATGGTGCAGTTAGAGGAAAATATTTCAAAAATATCATAAACCTATTATATGGCAGCCAATTCAGCCTTAAACCTTTCAACTTTATCAATTGAGTTCTAAACCTTATAATGATTTAGTCCTTTTGGCGGATTTTTGTCGGTAATCGCTGACGTGGACATCGGCTGTCCGACCAATAGAATTTGATTTTATGATCTTGGTCGTAAAATATTACTATATCTGTTTCAACCCTTTGATTGGTTTTCCTATGAGTAGTCCTTTATTTCCCTTTTTCTTTAGCTAAAATACTCCATTATTTCCCTCAAGACGTCTTGACGTGGCCACATTCAACGACTTTCAACCATTTCATATTCATATTCGCATTCGATGACCCAATCTGAAATGTTATCTAGAAAAGTTTCTAATTATTAAACCGCACCACCAACCCTCTCCCCCTTTCTGTGAGCTATTAATTTTATGTTCATATGATAATGAAGATCCAAATTATTTCTATTATCCGATTCGAGTTGATATCAAAATTTGTTTCATTTCATCACTCGAATAAGAGAAAAGTTAAATAGGAGATGTTTCGATGACAACTGTAGGGCGTCTCTGTTGGTACCAATTATAGGTTTAGAGTAAGGAGATTGGTATCAACTCCTTTAAGCATGCAATCGATTTTTTATTTTTCATTTTATTTTTCTCCTTTTCCCTTTCTTTATTTATATTTATTTATAGTGAAGTGAAATTAAACTAAAAATTAACAAGTGTTGAAATAAATGGTCAATATCACGAAAAGCCCCAAACTGGTACACCTGTGACAATTTTATCCCAAACTAATTTTTTGACCATCAAAAACCCTAAAATGGTACTCCTGTGAATAATTTAGCCCGAACTATTTTTTTGACTATCAAAAACCCCACACTGGTACACTTTTGATAATTTTATCCTGAACAATTTTTTTTACCATAAAAAATCCTAAACTGGTACACCTGTGATAATTTTATCCCCTACTAATTTTTTGATCACTAAAAACCTCAAACCGGTACATTTGTTATAAATTTACCTTCTGTTAGTGTCCGTTAAATTTGATTAATATCGCGAAATATCACAAATTCGTAAACTTGTGGTAAAATCCCAAACCGGTATACCCGTCAACTACCATGTGTCATCAAACTTAGCAATTTGATGGTAAAATTTAACGGAAACTAACAGAGGGTAAATTTGTCACAGGTGTACCAGTTTAGGATTTTTGGTGGTCAAAATATTAATTCGAGGTAAAATTGTCATAGGTGTACCAATGTATGGTTTTTGATAGTAAAAAAAAAAGTTTTGGGTAAAATTGTCACAGGTGTACCATTTTGGAATTTTTTGTGGTCAAAAAAATAGTTTGGGGTAAATTTGTCACAGGTGTACCGGTTTGAGGTTTTTCGCTGTATTAACCTCGAAATAAATATGAACTAGAATTTATATGCAAGCATCTAAATTAGATGCCAAAATACTATGTAACATAAATCTGGATTTCATGAAAATTTACACTGCTTTCACTTGGATTTTCAACCTTAAACTTCCTACGAGAACGAAGTTAGCACACCCCAGAAATAGGGGTGTCAATAAAGCCCGACCCAACCCATACCGGACCGGCCCGACCCGACCTGGCCCGGAAATTTAGGGCTTTTTTGGGGCAGGCCTCCTTTGGATTGGGTAAGAGCCTAAATTTCATATATTATTCATTTTTCGGGCCGGGCCAGTCCGGGTCGGGCTTTTTTTACGGCCGGCCCGGGACTTAAAAAAACCCTAGATATCAACTCCTTCGTCTCTTTCGTCTTCAAGCTTCCATTCACCCCTCGCGAAGCGCAGCGCATGGAATCAGAGTCGCTCATGGAATCAGGTCCTTCCTCATCATGACTACATTGCAAGTAGGATTGCGACGAACCAATTCATCTTGCCGGAAGCCTGTCTGCACATGGAATCAGAATCGCTCTTAGCTCTAGCTGCACCACAGATGCTGAGAAGATTCAATCTGAGCCACCGAGCTGGAATGCACCTCATACGTCGGTGAAATCGCCCCAACAGCAAGCTTCCAGTATCACTCCTTCATTTATCTTCAATCGAGGAACTCCTAGATGAATGCCTCTTTGAGATCTTCATACGGCTTCCCAGCTGTAGAGAAAGGAGCTCCTGTGCCTATGTTAAGATCTTCGAGCTGTTGAGCCTTGGTGTGAGGTAGAGCAGACGGCCTGTCTTTGCTTGTCGCTTTCGCCAGTCTCGTTTTGGTCTTTGCTCGGTGTTCTATTTCAATCTGGTGAAATTCTGAGTAGCCTTTTGTCTTTCTTGGTTCAATTCTTCCATGTTCTTCTTGGTTCTTTCTGTTCCAATCTCGTGCTGGATTGTGTTTATGATGTCGGAAGTAGCTTTTCGTCTTTCCAATCTGTGATCATACGTCGTAGGATGAACAGGTGGGTGTGAAATTTGGGTATATTTCTGTTGGGTTGAATTGAATCTTGAGAAGTAACCATGAAATTGAGAAATCCATCTGGTGGTGCCTTTTTGCTTTGCTAGCAACTGATGATGTGTCATTTAACTTGGGTCAAGTACAACGGACTTGGTCACTTGTGATCAAGATTTTTGCATTTCCACGTACCATACCCTCCTTCCTGATTATACTTTTCGGTTCCAAGACTGTTCAGATGGATTTATTGAACAATAAAAACGAGATGGTCCCAGGTAGCTACTTAATACACAAGCCATCTTTTCAGTCAAGACTACTTTAGAAGGATTTATTCCACAATAAAATTACTGAGATGGTAACCAAGTTGTAACTTGACGATGCTTACTCAATTGTTCAGGTTTGTACTGGACTTCAATCCCGTCTTCAGGAATACAAATCGGAAAACCAACAGCTCGAGGAACTTCTTACTTCGGAGGTAAACTTTAAGTTGCTATGGAGCAATTCTTCCTTTAGGTTGCAATGATGTTGAGCAACTAATGTGGAAACTTAACTTAATGTCCAATTAGCATGGAAGGGCATGTTTTTGTGTTATGTCCCTGAATTGCTGATACACTATATATGTCGTCTCGTTAATGACCGATAAAAGAAAGTTTTTTGATGTGTGACCAAGTTTCGCTTTTTCATATCTTGGACTGAACTGAAAATTTAACTTCTGATGTCACGGAATTTATAAAGAATTTACATCGTGTTTGTGCATCTTTAAGATGTCAGTTCATGTGATGTAAATCATTCTGTTATTGGTCAGTTATGTCCAAGTCGTTCTAACGGCGGAAAATGCTAGGTGCCAAAGTATACTTGTATTCTTTAAGGCGAAGAAGAAATAAATATGAAAGTCCTTAACAGGTGAAGAGATTGAAATTAACAGGAAACAAGTTGAAACTGACTTATTTTATAGAGTGCAAAGCGATGAGACCGGGGTGATAATCTATGAACATGTCCTAGATTGAAACTTGCAGCTCTGTCCAGCTAGACCATGAAAATATATATATTCAAGTGTTTGACATTAAATGCTTATTTTGTCAGTCAAAGGTGTTGTAAAACCATGAATCTTTTTTGTTATTCCATTGATTGCTGTCAACAGTTTTTTAATGGAGTTGACACCTCACAAGCACAAGCTTTATTCTTACGTATCTTACTAGTTTCATTCCTAAAACCAATAAAACAAATATAGTTCATTGACTAGTTACTGTAGCAGGGCATTGTCACAGTTGACATCCCACATCAATAAGCATCCCTTTTAATCTTGAACTTGATTCTTATATTTGACATCCCACTTTGATAAGCATCTCTTATATTGAGCTTTTCTAGCAAAATGGCTCATCATTGTTTTGGCTTCATCTTCGTGAATGGACAGTGCTCTGGTGGGATCTGATGAAATTTAGGCACTCTATTTTGCACAGCATGTTTTTAGTCAAAGTAGCTGTTGCCATATTTCTTTGCCTTTGTTGGGTTATGGAACTTAGGATCTAGATGTCATTTCTCAGTTGTCTTGGTTGGTATCTGCTGGTATATATGATCTGTCCTTGCTGCAATTACATACACATGAATTTTGCACAATGTGAAATGATCGGCTTGCAATCTCTCATTTTTTTGCAAAATTTTAGCAATCATCAGTAAAGTTTAATATGTGGTGAAGGAGTATTATGGGTCTGCTGTGGTCATTCTTTTTTTGCTGAAATGTTGTTTGGAGTGCAACATAGCTTTATATGTTTCTTTGCTGCTCCATGGTGTGGCTGCGATTATTTGCATTATGCGCCTTGTGTTGATTGTGGTCCGTCAGTTTGAATCTTAATCTTGGTTCACTGATGCATCAAGTCTTTGATACACTGGAGCATGGCTGACTTGTGAATATTATCTGAGACTTTAATTGTTTTTACTCTTTCTCTTACTAGGTGAATATGGAATCTATCATGAGAAATTGAGAATTGACTGAGACGAGGATGATGCAAGTAAGTTGGCCCTCTTGCTTCTCGCCTTTTCTACTTGGAACCGAAAAGTATAATTAGTCATGGGATGTCTTGTGCTGATTGAGAGCATGGGCGAGTTTTTATTGCTTTGATCAAGTACAGCATACTTGCTTTGATAAATAGAAGGATTACAAGATGTCTGAAACGAGTTCTACAAGTGTCATAGAAAGAAGGACAAGATCTGTAGTGTGGGAACACTTTAAACGGATTCTTGATCAAGATAAGGCTGAATGTTTATACTGTGGGGCACAAATTCGTTGTGCTAGTAATCACGGGACTAGTTCGATGCATCATCATTTAGGTAGATGCAAGGAATACCCATATGCAAATGTTGAGAAAAGGATAAAAAGTGCCTCGGATCAACTTCTTGGGGTCGGTAGTTCATTGGGTCCATGGAAAATTGATCAAGATGTTAGTCGAAAAAACCTAGCAAAAATGTTTATTATTGGTGAATTGCCTTTTAAGTTCGTAGAAAATGAGGGATTTCGGCTATTCGTGAATAGAATCCAGCCAAAGTTTCTAATCCCGTGTCGGAACACATTGAGGTATGATTGTTACAAGTTATACATGGAGGAAAGAAGTAAATTGAAGAAATATTTCTTGGAGACATCTCCAAGAGTGTGTCTTACGACCGACACATGTAATAGATTTGGTTTCTCAGCATATGTCTCTATTTGGTCTTAGGTCTTTGTTTGTGACACGTTGACATGCGCAATTGTAAACCACTTCTTGTATAACAGGATCAATTTTTACCTTATACAGCCAACTTGACAAAGATTATAAGCAGCTTGCAATTTTTACTATGGCTATTCGGGGTTCACACCCACTTTGTACTGGTTTATACGTTTACCCACGCAAAAAAAAAAAAAAAAAATCGAAAACCCGGCCCGACCCAACCCGGCCCGACCCGGATTTTCGCTTTGGGTTCTATGGGTTTTGGGCCGGGCCAGGTCAGAAAGAGCATGTGCCCCTTGTGATTTGGGTCGGGTCGGGTATCATAGAAACCCGACCCGATCCGACCCATTGACACCCCTACCAGAAAATAAAGAAAACTAGACGAAATGCTATGAATTAGAGTGAAACTAATCCACATAATGCGAAATCAACTTGGATGATTACATCTATACTAATTGATGAAATTAACTATTAATTAAAAATAAAAAATTTTGTTAAGACTCGCGTGCAGATTTTTTACTATTTACATATTTATACTTACTGAAACACGAGTAACAATCAACATGAACTAACGCAAAAAGCCACGCACGTGCTTGCTTTTATTTCCTTTCCTCTTCTTCTTTTTTTCTCCTTTCTTTTAACACGTACAGCTAAAATCATTTTCACTTGTGTTGGCCAGGTAAGTCTATCGCATATTTCCCTCTTGGTGAGCCAGGCTCGTGCTGGCTTCGGTTTGGAAGTTCAAATGAATTTATGACTCATTTAGGGCCCGTTTGGCAAGTTGCCAAACAGTAAAAATTTCTTTTCTTTTGTTCTCAGAATCAGTTTGGGAACAGAAATCCGTTTGTTAAATTTTTTGCTCCTGGGCACAAATTTACAAAAAAATTATTTTCAGAATCAATTTTGGAACAGAATCAATAAGCAAAAAAAAGTAACTTCTTAATTTTAGGAACAATTTTTCCATTTCTGATTCTTCTTGATTTTCTTCTTCCCCCTTTTTGGTTTGTTCTTCTTCTTCTTCTTCCTGGCCCGCTGTCGGCCGTTGGCCAACGGCGACCTGCGACTGGCCACAAGCCAGGGCCGGCGAGGGCGTCGCGGCCCTCGCCCAGCAATGGTGAGGCCGACCTCGCCGTCGCGACCTAGGCGAGGGAGATGGTTCGCGACGGCGAGGTCGGCCTCGCCAGATCTGGGCGAGGTTGGACCTTGTGTAGCCAAGACGAGGCCGACCTCGCCGTCGCGACCGGCGAGGGCGTCGCCGCCCTTGCCGGCTCTGGCCTGTGGCCGGTCGCCGGTGACCAAGGAAGGGAAGGGAAAGAAAGAAAAAAAAAAGAAATATTAAAAAATTTAAAATATTATTAATATTTATGCGGTGACCAGACGCATGTAATTTATCGCACGAATTGTAAAGAGTCTATGTAATTAGACTAGACACAAGGGCCCGGAGGAGAGCTAAGATGCAAAAAATCCGTGGACCCCAGAGTTTGGAAAAGATAAGGACAAAACCATGCAGATGAAGAGAGAGAGAGCGCGCTTTGAAAAAAGCCTGAACTGAAAGCACAAAAAGAGGAGTCATCCATCAATCAACTCCCAAAAGCCCCAAACATGGCCGGCGTGAGGACGGGGAAGAAGATAGAAAATTTCGCATGCAAAAGTCAAGCCTTCATCATCAATCTCTCCCCTTTCCTGCTTTTGTCTCTTCCTTCCTTGAACTTTGCACCATTCTTCCTTCAAATTTTCTTTCATCTCGTCAAAGATTCTACCAATTGATACGTTTTCACAAATAATTATTATTGAATTTCTTGATCCTAATATTCAATTTTTGAAAACTTATAAAGTTTTCTTGTCAAGCCTTGATCAATGAATCTATAAAATCCTTCAAATTGTATCCGATTAAAACCAAGCATAGTAGACAATCCCTCATTCAACCACCAGCATTCCGTGGACGTAAATATTAGGTCAATCGGATGTTGGACAGAAAAATGATGACTAGTCAAAATTTGGTCAAATTTTTTGTAATTTTTTTTCCATTTTTTTTTAAAGAAAGAAAGAATGAATGATGACGTCAACTCCCGCCTCCGTCCGCGGTCACCACATGTCTATTCCAGCATCAGCCTGATGATGGAATGGTGACAACCTGCACGTGAGCCCACGCTAGGCAAAAATGGTGCTATCCCCGCGCACCTGGGCTGCATGTCCTAGCGAATGACTAGGGCAAAAATGGTGCTATCCCCAGAATCGTCTCGTGTGGAGCTGGGCTTTTGAAGCCCAATTTTGCACCTATAATTTTTAGGCCTTTCACCATATTTGCCTTGTGCCTTGCAACATCTATGACCAGTCGGGCGTCAAAGCTCGCAGTCCATGGCCATTTGAGCTCGAAGCTTGAGATTTGCCATGGCTGGTTCTACTTCAAAGCTCGCAACCTCCATGACCACTTGAGCTCGAGCTCAAAACTTGCGGTCGTCATGGATTCTTGAGCTCGAAGCTTGTGCCTAGGGTAGAGATCAAGCGACCATAGGTGTGAGATCTAAAGGTCATAGATCTCGAGCTGCCGGTCGCCATGGCTGCTCGAGCATTTGAGGTGCGGCCAAGGTTAGCGGAAGAATGGTCGTGAGTGGGTGGGTACAAAGGAATTGCATTGGTAGGGTTTAAATATTTTAAAGAAGAAGAAGAAGAAGAAGAATTCCAGATGAAAGATAGAGTCAACGTTTGAATATAAAGAAAAAAAGATAAATATCAACAAATATTTAACGACCTTTACTCCACATCAACAAAAATTCACAACGGCCCCAAAGTGTTTAGCAACATTCGAACCTATTTGAGGTTTTAATTCCAATATTAAACCATACAAATAAGGACAACATGCCCCAAATCTTAAAAGCATGAATGACATCGAAGGCCCAAGGAACGCTACGGCCTCTACGGTAAATAGTTCTCGCATGGTTGAGTTCTTACGTTTGATTATTTTCTTTAATAAATTTAAGTTTTTCTTTTCTTTCACGTGATTAATTGGATATAATTAGTCTATTTACTTATTTCAATTTTTAGGAGGAAATTCAAAGTGCCATTTTCAACTTGACCAAAAAAAAAACTAGTATGTATAATCTCCAAAGCAAGCTTGCCTTGAAATTAATAACAAAGCTTTTTTTTTCTCAGTAAAGTTTATATGCTTTGTTGCGATTGTTATGTCTGTCTATTTATTTCTTATGGTAATTACAGCTTGCATTTAAAAGATAGGAGAAAAATGATAGTAACAATCTTCAGCTCAATCATCATCATCTTCGTTGTCAACCACCTGTGAATCCCACAATTACGCCGTTGATGTTGACGATGAAGTTGAATTGGCAGAAGCGGAAACGCTGCAAAACTCAGTCATTAATCTCTCATCGCTCACTCTCGCCACAACAAAATGCCCAAGCTTTCCAACAACCTCCACCAAGTTGTCCCTGCACAAGAACTCGTCGCTATAAACTTTCTCCACCTCCCAGTCGAAGTCCTGCACGAATACGTGCGTCTCCGCCGCTCCGCCCTTCTTGCTCCTGGCCAGCACAGCCGCCGTGAATATCGCCGACATCCTCCCTGGCGCTGCCCCATGGTACCCGCTCGGCCCGTCGACTAGTATCACGTCCCAACTCAACTCATACATGTGGTTGGGCAAACTGTTCAATGCGAGCTTGCATTCCGAGAAGAGCAGGTTCTGCACCGGCCGGCACTCGCCACGGAACTCGCCTATAGCCGACTCGAGCAGCTTCTTCATTTCGCCAACCTTCGTCTCGTACCGCACATCATAGGCCTCAATTCCCGGGTGTTGCTGCTCAAACTTCGAGACAAGGTTCTCATTCTCTTCAAGGAAGATGGTGCGGCCGTCGAAGTTGAGGGCTTTGTACAAGAGGGCTTCGTGGGTGAGGCCAAAAACGAGGAGGTTGCAGTGGGAGGCAGCAGCGGCACAGTGGGCAACTGTGGAGGTTATGGTGGCGAGCTCAGTGGACGTCATGTGGGTGGAGTTGGCAGTGGCGGCGTAGTGGAGGAGGGCGTCGGATATGGAAAGTCGAAGCGGGACTGAAGAGGTGGCGGAGCCCGTGGCACTGCTTGTGGCGGTGGGGGTGGTGGTGGTGGTGGTGAGTAGGGTTAGAGTGAAGGCGGTGGTGAAGAAGGTGATGATGAAGATGAGCCACAAGCGATTGGTGTTTGAAGACGATCGCTTTTGGATTGTGGGATGGAGGAGTATTAGCTTTGCGCTTTTCATCTCTTAATCTCTCTCTCTCTCTCTCTCTCTGAAGCAACGTGTTCATTTCATTTAACATATCAGGGAAAGGTCTAGAGAGAAAAAGATTCTAATCACAATTAATGCAATAATTGCAGCAAACATTGTATATTAGTGTGAATAGACTATGTGGGAATCAATGAGGTGAAAGAGTTCTTGCCCAAAGAAAAACAAGAAACGGAGTAAAACAGATATGATCGATGCATGTAGAGGGACAAATTAGCAAAGGAAAATCCAGGGGCTTGTTTCGCGGAAAATCAAGAATTTAAAAAGTATATTCCTGGAAATAATCCTAAAATCAATGGTAGATATATTCATTATCAACGAAAAAGTTTAGGTACAGAGCTATGTTGATAATGAAGTAATTTTCTGTTGAATAATTATTTTAAATGATAAAAATAATCGTTTCTTAGAAATTTTTTTTTTTGAAATCATCAATTTCTCGTAAAACAAATGCACCCCGGACAAACGAAAATCAAACCACACACTTCTCACGGTGCATCTTGAACGAAATCATAAATACTTAACTAGATAATTACTAAAAATCGAAACCAATCACCTAATATCCCAAAAATTTTTCTAAAATACAGAAAATGCAAGTAAATAAGCTTAATAGTAATCTTAGAAAATATTTGCAAGATTTTAGCGTTTTCTAAATTTATATATAAATCTCCTTGTCTTGCAAAATAACTTATTTCATTGAATTAATGAAAGAATTACGAGAGATCTTTCCTCTTTCTTTTTGGAAGGTATAATGACACAAACAGTCCCTGAACTTTGGCTCAATGTGCAATTTGGTCCCTGAACTTTTAATTTGTTCAATGTAGTTCTTGAACTTTAACTCAATATTCAATGTAGTCCCCGAACTTTCAATTTGTTCAACTTGGTCCATGAACTTTTAGTAAATGTTCAATTTAGTTCCCGAACTATATAAAAATATACAATATAGTCCCTGAACTTGAATTAATTGAAGGACTACATTGAATATTTTTATAAAGTTCAGGGACTATATTGAACATGTACCAAAAGTTAAGGGACCACATTGAACAAATTGAAAGTTTAAGGACCATATTGAACATTGGGTTAAATTTTAGGGACTACATTGAACAAATTAATAGTTCATGGATCAAATTGCACATTGAGTCAAAGTTCAGGGACTATTTGTGTCATTTTTCCTTTTGGGAATATTCACATGTGAATGTGTTTTTTTTTTGTAAGGACACATGTGAATGTGTTTGCGTCTATATATTTGCGAATTGAGTTCTTCATGTTTCTATCATTTTTGCTGTGTAACGTAATTCATTTCGAAAGCATTTTCCGTTAAGAAATGGAGGAACCGCATCATATCGTTCGGTTATGAAAATATAATTGGCCTTTTGAAGTCGGATGATCATCATGATTTGATCATCATAATGAAAGAGTAAAGAGATGGAGAAGAAAGGTGCGGCATCGCTGTCATTTGCTTTGGCTCGTGCGGACCATTAAACCATGTATTATCGTTGAATAATTGGTCTGATTGATTTAATCATGGTGGGATTTGCTGTTGGATATGGACATCATGTCATGTCTTCTGGGGTCCATTGATGTTGGTGGCAGATAATACAAATCATCTCCTATAGCTAAAGAAAAAGGTAACAGCAGTCCTTGAACTTTTTCCCGGGTATATAATAAAATCTCCAACTTTTTTTCCGATTCAAGTTAATCCCTAATTTTTTTGAAATTCATTAAATGTGGTCTTTTTATTAATTTGGAGTTTACTATATAGTGTTTTCTGTCCGTTTGGCATACCAACCCATCAAAAATCATGCATCGTTATTATGGATTGGCCAGCTCAATAAAATTTGTTTTTTTCTTAGAAGAACTTTTCTTTTTTGTTTTCTCTTTAATTCTTCTTTGTTCATCTATTATCCCTGTGATTGGCCACTCCTTAAAGCTGGACATCACTACCGGAGTCATGCACGGCGTGGTCTTGTCGTGCCTCACCGCCATCACTTCTGTGCCGAACCTCCGCGCCTAGCTCAAACCCCTCTCTATCTCTCTCTCTCTCTCTCCGACCTCCAATGGAGGTTGGGACTAGGCATGTGACCTCAATTGGTGGAAGTGCTCAAGTTCAAATTTGGGTCGCACGATCTGACATCATATCTGGTCTAAATTGAATAGCTAGCTAACAGTGTCCATGTAAGTGTGCACATCGATATATTAAATGGCTAGTTAATAATATTGACTGCCACATTAGCAATTTTCGTTAATCTACTTAATTGAACAACAATATTGAGTCAAATTTAAAAAGTATAAGTACTATTGAATTGCCAAATATTTTCGGGATAACTTTGAAAAATAGGGAAAAGTTCAGGAACCACCCATCATGTTGCCCAAAAACAAAAGAAGATAATACGAATCATCAAGATTGTTCGATCAGGTACATAAGTGAGACAGCTTAATTAACAGAGAGAGGTGTCCTTTTTGGGAATCATATTTGCAGAGAAATGGAAGTGAATAATGTGTGTTTTACCTCTACATTAGACCATCCAATGCAATTGAGTGATGTCAAGATGCTGTTCTGTTGATTTGTTTCAATATCCCTTATCAAAACTAGTACAAATGTTTTCTAGTGAATTACAGAAACAAATCTTTTAAAAAGTCTGCTAGACTCAAAGATGTAAAATTTAGATCTTTTTCGACATCAACGCGCAAAAGACATGCTCGAAATAGTAGAAGCGCGGAATAAATTATAATAAAAAGATGTGAATGATTTTTGTTATTTAACCTGCATAATGAAAATCGTAGTTGAACCACATAGGAAGCGCAAATAAAGGATTAACGGGAAAAATTATAATCAGTCATAAACTTATTGTACGGATGCTATTTTAGTCCTAAACTTTCTAATTTTACCACTTTAGTCATAAATATTTGTGCAAAATTTTAATGTAGTCCTTCTGACCACATCAATGGTTTTCAACGAAATTTGGCCGGACGGACTATATTAAAATTTTGCGCAAAAGTTTAGGACAAAATTGGCAAACTTGAAAAGTTCAAAGCTGAACTGGCATCCTTACTATAGGTTCAGGACCGATGGGGTAATTTTCCCAAGGATTAACCATTCCGTTATTTTCCCTTCACTTATAGTTCTTTTAAAGAAGAGAATAAACGGTATATATAAAAAAACACACACACAAATATATATATATATATATATATATATTAAAAGAAGTATAATTTGTATCTTACGGAAAAGAGATATGCGATATCTTTTGCCCAAATGATTTTCATTTTGTTAGTAGCTTGAAATTTGTCGGTATGGATCATCACGTCGGTACACCAAAAGTCATAAAGTCAACTTTCACGTTTACCCCACTAATTTAGTATTTAGGTTAGTACCAAGTTCTATTCTAACGACAACGGTGCTTAATCGTGATGTTCTTCTGTTCGAGCCCTACCATGTCTTTAATTATTGCTTTACCTAAATTTTGTATTAATCAGACCAATGATTGTGGCCTCCACGGAGTAAAATGACGTCAATTTATGTGAGGTATAATCCATCTCTTAGGCATCGAGAGAAATGTTTCTTAGCGATGCTAAAGTTAAAGATGACAAATCCCAAAAACTTCGCACTTTTCTTTGCAAGTTATCATCTTATTATGGAGTAAAGCTACCGAAAATTCTTAAACTTTATCAGTTTGTGCAATGTAATTCCTAGATTTTTTTTCTATGCAATCATATTCTTAAATTATGGTTTGTTTGGTCTCATTGATACTTCCGTCGAAAAACAAAAGAAAATGCTTATGTGGCTGTTAAATTGTGCCCTGTAAGTAGCTATTCAATGCCATGTTGGCTCCCACGTGGCTGCCACATGGCTCCTACGTGCTTATTTGATTCTGGAAAATTTGAAAAGGAACAAAAGTTTAAGAATTTGGAAAAAGAAAACAAGAGAACAAACTCAATTCGGATCACCGATAGTGTAACCATAGAGCGCCGAGCAGAGCATCGACAACCAATCACCGGAGAGAGTGGTTGGACCCCGTCGAGCTTAGGCAATGACACTTTCGCAGATTAAACTTCTCTTCTTCCACTCGACATTCTAGGACTTCTTCCCTCTAATCAACACTCTTCACCTTCTATGCTCGAGAAGGAACTACGTGTGAGTATGTAAAAGCACACACGAAGGGAAGAGAGAGAGAGAGAGAGCTCATGATTGAAGATGGACGATCATGTGAGTTTTTGGCTTTGACATTACTCGATTCCAACAGAAAGAACGATTGAGTTAAATCGATGGGATCGAGAGAGATGGAGCAAGTGGAGATCCCCAAGTGTTGCCACCGCCCTGGATCTAGGCAAGTAGCCAATGCCAGTACGAGCACAACTGGCGAACGAGGGCCTACACATGACGATGAGGTGACCCACGCCGTCATGTGCACTGCTCCCGAAACGTGCCTAGCACACGCGGGATAATGATAAAAAAAGTCATAAACCTATTATAAGGTGCCCAATTCAGTCCTAAATCTTTTCATTGTGCCAATTTAGTCATAAATTTTTTGATGATTTGCCAATTTAGTCATAAACCTTTCAATTGTATCGGTTTAGTCCTAAACATATTAAAGATTTGATAATTTAGTCATAAATCTATAATTTGGATATTTGGCCGAAATGACTATATTACCAATCATCAAAGGGATTAGGACTAAATTAGCAAATCATCAAAAGGTTTAAGACTAAATTGGTAAATCGGTATCGGCACTTCATTTTTTGTTAAATAAAAATAAAAAATACAGTAAATAGAAAAAAAAATTGCCGATTTAATTCGGCCCATTCACGCCTAATTGATTCATTGGCCCAGCCTTTTTTATTAGTTTTCTCAATTTAGCCAGCCCAGTCCACTCCTTTTCTGGTCCTTTTTTCTCTTTTGGCCCGTCTCGGCTTCACCTGGCCCAACTTGAGCTTTCTTTCCTCCTTCGCGCTTGTGACGCGAGAATGAGATAAGAGGATGCGGGAGAGCGAAGGAGAGCGAGCGATGGTGAGGAAACAGTGGGTGACCGGAGCAAATTCACGAGAAACCTTCTAGAAATAGCTGAGCCTTTTGATCGGAAAGAGGGTGCCGGACAAATCTCTTCCCCTCCCTCTT